GGTGAGAAATTAAAAGATTTGTAATGCATCCGTACAAAGTCGAAACTCTAGTGATATATGTAATGTAATATATATAGATATATATAGAATATATATAGGCGCGTACACCTTTCCATCAGATGGGCCATTATAGTGTGTAGTTAGCCATTATAAAAAAATGTATTTCATATTTAGGAATACGAAAAATAAATACGTTAATTCTTGTACGGACAAAAAGCATATTTATTTTTATACTAATATTAACATAACTCTAGTCTTGTTATATATAAGAGCAGTCATTTAGAAAGTAAACAAGCATGTTTAATTATAAGCAGATAACTATTTATTTGCTCTGAAACTCCATTTATTCCGTGATAACGTCGCGCCAGCTATCATTTGTTTTTCGCGCGCCATTTTGACAGCATTTTCCGTGTTCGACCGCGACCTTTAAACTTTCGAATTTCAAAAAATATCTCTATTCCTAATCACATTGAGTACCATTTCCAACGACTGTTAATTTTGTTTTTTTTTCGTTTTGCCAACATGGGAATATTTTCTTATGTCTACAGATTATTTGTAATGAATAAGAAAATTACAGAATAACTTCTAAAAAGAATATTTTGGCGCGTGAATTATAGACATTTTTGAAGTTTTGACAGATTTTTGAATTTCGAATTCTCAAGTGTTGTATTGGACGATTGAAAACATTGTGAATCTATATTTGGACGTGTTATCTGTGACTTGTAAATTGATATTGGAACGACGAAGAAAAGCCTACATATGCCATACTTCCTGAATAAACGTACGTCGAAGAGTAGAAAGGTGCATAATAGGGACTGCTGCATATGCCTATGTAGATTCTGCTGCGCTCTACGGCGCCCAAAAACAAGTTGTGATTCCTTAACCAAAGTACCGGTAGAAGTGTTGAAACGATATAATTACTGTCTGTGGTCATTCAAATATAAACTTTTTTTCGATCGTTGACAAAAACTAGGCAAAGGGACCTTACTTGTGAAGTTATAAGTGCGCCCGCTACAATACCCTTGCAGTGGAAAGTCATGTGTCTATTTGAAGAGGCATTAACGAGTCGTGCGTCGGAATATATATTTGTATACGCTTTACTTTTGTTTACAAAACGTCATAGAATTTTCCTAAGGAGATTACTTGTAGAGAACATGATAATTTGAATTTAAAAATAGAACAAAAGAAAATAAGATTATAAAAATAATACTTGATGCTTAATAAGCGGAAGTTGGAGAATTCTTCATCAAACTCTACCACGAGTTGCAGAAATAAGAAATAGAAGGTTAAAAGAAGGAAGGTAGAAATAGAAAGTTTAATAAATCATAAAGAAGAGATATTTTTGAACGGAAATGGACACAAAACTATCATAGATTAAGTAGATTATGAAAAACATTGGCAGCATAAATATATGTTCAAACATCGAATGTATCAACTGATAACCCACACGAATATTTGAAATTCGAATAGAGAACGAATTTAATAGATAAAAATATATATACGTATTGTTTTTCACCCACAATACAGATAACGATAAAGATTAACAGAAAATTATCGCTGTAAATAAAATCTATCTGATGATGTTTTACGTCAGTTTTACATAGATAGTGATACCAAAGTACGTCTGTTATGTGCGAAATAATGATATTTTGTGACTGTGCGACTTTTATATGAGTGTATGCAAACGGATATACGAGGAGTATATGCAGGATTGAAGTGATTTTATTGGATTTAATTATGGATCTGACAGTGGGCTACCCCTACCCGCCATATTATCATATGCCGTACCTACCCAGTCACATAATATACCCGGATCCGGGTGAATATTTGAGCTCTTACTACAAACTTTATGACGGTGAGTTATACTATATAAACATCTGCATATTACATGACCCATAAAGATAGTATTCTATACCTTTTTACTCATAGTTATAAAGTTTATATTTGCATTATATACGTATTCTTTTTTTAATCCATAGAGGAAATGACATTATCTTTTTTAAAGTGTTAAAAAGCTCATAATTATAATTGTCTATGTACATTTCATAAAAATATAGCACAGAGTAAGATTATTTCAGAGTAATATCGAAAGGGTGTTAAGTCCCTCAACAACAGAGATTTTGTGAAAATGGGCACTACAGTCTTTTAGTTTACAAGTAATTTTATATCTTATTGTAATACTAAAAACTAAAAAACTCTGGCAAGAGATAGACTAAAAACTCGTCCGCGTGTGTACCTAAGTGTCACCTATTTCACCCGCCAAGCAGCTTGCTTTGGAAGCTGTTTCGGTTGTAGGGTGCAGATTAGGCAGTGAAATTACAGGATAAGAGGCGTGACATCTTAGTCCTCTAGAATAGCAACGTACGAATGGTATCGAGTGTGACATGATAACGTGATGTCAGTTTTAAATGGATGATAATGGAATGGTGCACCCGCCTGTGCTAGTGGTACACACTAATATATTAGATATTGGAATGTGACGTATGTCACGTCACATTCCAATACATGTCACACTTTAACGTATGTTTGAACTATTTTTGTTAATAGTTCAAATTTAGATGCAAATATATGTATTCTTATTAAAACATTACAAACTAAAGTCTATAAACGAGTAGGGATATATGTGTAAGGAAATTGTACATAAGAAACATAATAAAAAATATACAATACACTAACTTAAACGTAAAATAACAATAAACATTAAAAAATATATACTTACTAGGTGTCACTGGGATACGAAGAGGTTGAGCTACTCATTTAACACTGATTTACAGTATTTCATGTTTTAAGTCTTGTATATATTAGATATTGAAATGTGGCGTGACACTGTCACACTTTAACGTAATTTATGCACGATCCCTTGGAATATGACGTGACAATGTCACACTTTAACGTGAGACATAATGTATACAATACCCCCCTAACACTTTTTAGGCGTTAACCTAAAAAACCTAGTCATATTATTTTGATGTATTAAATGTGAAACTGATTAATAAACGGTCAGGAAACATTACATGGCAGTTATTAATGATTAAATAATGTTATTTCATAATGATACAGCGCAATTATTTATTCCTGATAATAGATTTGTCTGTCATTCAATTATTTCTCTAACAAAAGTCTTATGGACGATAATGGAATGGTGCACCCGCCTGCGCTAACGGTTTACGCTGTGGCACCAGTGGAGGATGATAAGATGAGCGTGAGGTCAGGTCAGTTAGCACATCCTGATAAAATGACCAGGAATTTATCACGATGGTTTCCAGGTGAATCACGTGGAGGTAGACCTGACATGGTGCATTGCTAGCAATGGGGCTATTAGTCCACATTACTAACAATTAAACACTATTAGTCCCCTTACCATACAAATTTGACTTCCACGCAGTTCCCCCTGGAAACCATCGTAATAAATTCCTGCTGAATTTGTCACGATATCCTAACTGACCTGACCTCATGCTCATCTTATCATCCTCCACTGGTGCCCGCCAGCGTATACCGTTAGCGCAGGCGGGTGCACCATTAATGTAATGATTAATAAATTGAACATCATCATTTAGAATCATTAATTAATTGAACACCTTTTCCAAAGTCGGTTACAAATGATATGCATTTCTGTTATCAGCTAATATAATCTGTAGTATTACAGAATTGTTATCAAAGTCAAACCTGACAACTCGGCAAAATATACAACATATATATATACATATATGTATATATATATATATATATGTATATATATATATATATATGACTCGACCATAATATGTGTGAATCAGGAGTTTTTTTTATCTTATCTGTATTTATTTCTTTAATTTATACAGAACTAGTGTTTAGCCGTGACATTGTCTGAAATAATAATTATATACGTAATAAAGCGTAAAAAACCAGGAAATGCTGAATTCATATTATACACAGAAAATATCCAGACCGATACAAACAATCATACTCATGAGAATACAAATGTTTGTACCGAGCGAGGAATCGAACCCGCGACCGTCGGCAAAAACGCAGTGTCCTAAACCACTAGACACCTCCTCTTGTTCTCCTCATAACGAAAATTTATTAAATGAATACAAATGTTTGTAGCGTACTAGAATCGAACCCGCGATCGTTGGAAGTGCTAAACAGCTAGAAAACCGAGAGATAAGGAAAACAATTTCTATATTATTTCTAAGAGGGGAAATACAAACAAACAAATGTATATCTATGACGCAACTTCCATGTTACCACGATATCAGAAAGATAAACTAAAATGCAGTGATAACGTGATATCAATTGAAGATTAGTTCTACGGTCAGATATTGTGAGACCAGTGGCTCTAAAACTTTTAATGTTCCCGATTTCTTGTGAATATATTTTAACTAGCTGTTCCCGTGGATTCACCCGCCTTAAATTGAATTTAAATAAATTAGTTAATTTAAATAAGCCTATGTGTTATTCTGATGCATAGGTTTATTGCTGTAAAGTTTCATCAAAATCCATCGAGTAGTTTTTGCGTGAAAGTGTAACAAAGATCCACACTCACAAATTTTCGGGTTTATAATAAGATTAAGATATGGCAATAGTTGTTCATGCTCGGGATTTTCATGTAATGTTAGACATAGACACCTTTGTAAGTGTATAATGTAAATAAACTGGGTTAAAAAAAAGTAATTCCATTGAGTTTCTTGTCAGTTCTTCTCAATTGAATCTGTATATTGAACTGGACGGTAGGGAAAAATATTAATACAAAATACTTGACGTTCATAAGCGGCTAAAAATCATTCATTCAAAAAACATAACAATATACATATTTCGACGCAAAACAGGATAAGAGTTGGATGTATCTGTACGTCTCTATGCCTGTCTGTACCATCGTAACTCCTAAACAAATGGATTAATTGAACTGATTTTAATCAGATTTTTTTTGTATGAAAGCTAAGATGAATGACCATGTTTATTGGACTACAATTAATTTTTTTTTTCAATATGTATTTTTATGTTTTTTTTATTATCTGCAGGCATGTACACAATGAGGATGCTGGACGGCGCAAGCGCACACCACGCCCCGCATCCCAACCACACACACATGATGATGACGGGTACGTACACACATACACAAGCACACACACATTCAAATTTGAGGACATTACAAATTAAGCAATATATCACTTCTTCTCAATACAAATTGAGAAATATAACACTTTTTCCCATTTCAAATTGAGAAATATAACACTTTTTCCCATTACAAATTTAGAAATATAACACTTTTTCTCATTACAAATTGAGAAATATAACACCTTTTCTCATTACAAATTGAGAAGTAAACCCTTTCTTATTAGTCATTACAAATTGAGAAATATAACACTTTTTCCCATTTCAAATTGAGAAATATAACACTTTTTTTTATTACAAATTGAGAAGTATAACACTTTATCTAATTACAAATTGAATCAAATATTACCTTATTTATCATTTTTAATTATTGAACTATAATTTTTATTATTTATGGTGCGTACAGAGCGTGACTCCGCGTCGGACAGTGCCGTCTCGTCTATGGGATCTGAACGCGTGCCGTCACTCTCAGACGGTGAATGGTGCGATGGTAGCGATTCTGCGCAAGAGTTTCACAGGTGAGCCAGCAAATTCCATCCAAAAGGAAGTTAGATAACTCTAGTTCATCATCATCATCGCAGCCCGGAAGACGTCCACTGCTGGACATAGGCCTCCCCCAAAGATCTCCACGACGATCGGTCCGGCGCTGCTCGCATCCAATGCCTTCCAGCGATCTTGACCAGATCGTCGGTCCACCTTGCTGGAGGCCTTCCCACGCTGCGTCTTCCGGTCCGTGGTCGCCACTCGAGGACTTTACTGCCCCAACGGCCATCTATCCTACGAGCTATGTGCCCTGCCCATTGCCACTTCAGAGTCGCAATTCTTCGGGCTATGTCGGTCACTTTGGTTTTTCTGCGGATCTCTTTTCTGATTCGATCACGCAGAGTAACTCCGAGCATAGCATCTATAGTATCCTCTCCATTGCCCTCTGAGTGACTCTGAGCTTGTTCAGACGTGGTCGCTAACTATGAACCCCCATAGTTAGCGACCACGTCTCTGTTCCGTAACTCTAGTTACTTAAAAAAATTAAGAATCTTATTAAAAATCACCCGGGGGTTGTTGCTATTGCAGTTGATGCCGGGGCCTTCACCCTTCTAGGGGGCGCGGATGACTGATCATTCATTCGATTCTTATTTTACAGTAAAAAAGCCGAGAATAAATTATTGACGTAATAAATAACTATTTATCACTATTATAGTGTTATTATTGCTATATAGTAGAGTTGATGCCGGGGCAAAGGGGTTCGTCCCGAGGCCACAACCTTCATCCCCTAGGGGGGTGCGGATGACCAGGGGATGAAATATTTTATTGTAAGAAGAAATTAAATGTATTGCTTATTTTGTGATGATAGTTTAACATAATTATATAAGTTCTGCACATTAGTAAGTTCTGACATACAATAGACTCCATATGCCATTTATCAGTTGTATTTTTATATATTATAAACTATGACCCGTCCCGGGTTCGCATGGATACATTACAAATCTTTGAATTTCTACACTTGTTCTATACTATAACACACATGTATTATACATATAAACCTTCCTCTTGAATTACTCTATCAATTGCTAAAAAGTGCATTAAAATTCGTTGCGTAATTTATAATATATAAATAAACAGACAACGACGGGGACTTGTTTTATCTATCTATCTAATCTATCTAAATAATAAGTAAATTTTTTTCAACATGTCCTCAATATGTTTATATCCAAAATGTTAGTTAAATTGAAAAGGAATTTAAAGAAAAAGTATATTGTATGGTTCAAGTAAATAAACTATATATCTATGTATTAATATATTATAGATTATAATGTTGTCGTTCTCTCCACAGTTCCAAATTTCGACCGTATGACGCGTCATACGGTAGGGAACGGTCGGCGCCACACCAGCCCCAGAAGAAGCATCACATGTTCGGCAAACGCTGCTTCCAGGTACCATTTAAATATTCAATACAATTTCATACGTTTCTCCTACACGCCCACTCCTCGTATCTGCTACACGCCCTCACGTCTCTACTCCCTCCCCTCGTCTCTCTTACATCGCCCTCCGTTTCTCTTACATCGCCCCCGGTTTCTCCTACACCAGCCCCCATCTCTCCTTCACCTCTCTTCCCCTTGTCTAACCATCTTCCCCTCACCCTATCACCTTACATTGTTTGATAATTCGACATTTCCACGTGTCAGTTTAGTCTCCTATGTTAAAAAACAGACTATAGGTTAGCAGATAATGATGAGACTAACATACATATGAGTTAATATTATAAAAGTAATATATTGTGTCACGTAAAGTATATGTCACGGCACTGACGACGGCAATCTGCCACGCTAGCGACGCTACACACTTCGGCTTTATGAATGAATGAATAGAAATAGAAATAGAAATAATCTTTATTCAAATAAACTTAATATAAGCTCTTTTGAATAATCAAGTTTTTTTTATTCTACCGCTTATTCGGAATGCAGATTCATCACAAGAAGAATAAGCAAGAAACTTGTGTGTTGTTCTTTTAAATAAATATCGATTTACTTATATTTAATTAACAACAAGGATTAGGCATGCGACAATCGACATAAAAACCGCTACGCACTTAATCTCTGTTCAATCAGATAACATTGTCAGCGCTATGAATTTTAAGTTAGATATTTTGAATGAAATCTTTATTGTTCCTCTCACAGAAAATAATAATAATAATAATCTCAGGACAATTCACACAGCGCCATCTAGACCCAAGTTAAGCTAGCTAAAGCTTGTGTTATGGGTACTAGATAACTGATATATATACATAGATTTTTTTTTTAAATACATACATATTATACATAGAAAACACCCAGACCGATACAAACAATCATACTCATGAATACAAATGTTTGTGCCGTGCGAGGAATCGAACCCGCGAACATCGGTCGTAAAGCGGTGTGCTAGACCACTAGACCACCGAGGTCGTCAAATACAATACAAAAATACAATTACAACCTTTACCAATTATTCTTCGGCTTTAGTAAGTGTTTTGTGTTACAGGAGCAACCAACGCCATCATTAGAACCACTAACCAACAGGCCCAACCCAGGAGGCGTGGTCAAGTACGAGTGTCCCGAACAGACGTACCACCACGACAACATGCATATGCACAACGGTCAGTATTTAAATTATAATAATAATAATAATCTTGTTGCCATCTCCTCTCCTTAAGAGGGGAGATGAGAATTTTTTGGAAGTTAGGAATAATAATAATAATAACAAGAAACAGGAAAAAGTTTATATAATACCCATAGTCCTCTCATCTACAGGTATCATACCCAAACACCTACATCATAGCCTGAAACAGTTAGATATACATCACCCTTCAAAAAGCTACCATCTTAAATACCTGTCGTACTGTCCGAAAATTTCTCGAAATCGATGAAAAGGATATAACAGCAGTCACACCAGGCACACAATAAGTACACACACACTCACACATACATACACGCGCTCACACATACACACACTCTGCACTTACTTGGTTTCGGCCCGTAAGTGTGGAGAAAACCAGCAAAGGGTGAGAAAAAAAAAATATGTTATGTCGGTGAACGGTCTTATCCCAACCAGTCTGGAACAACATCTCAAACGGTTGGGATTCCGAGGCGGCTCACTCCCGGGAAAGATGCAGAAAGCGGTGCTCTTAGATTCTGCCCGCATTGTACGCCGGTTTCTCTCCCTGGGGCCCTGAACCCCGGCCGACTGTGCTTCTGCCGGGGATACGTTGCCATCTCCTCTCCTTAAGAGGGAAGATGAGAAGTTTTGTATAATAATAAAAATAATAATAATATATGTTATATTTCATTTTATACATTTGTTATATACGAATATAATACTGTTTGTTACTCACTATACGATTACTTGAATAATTGCGTGCATGGCAATAGTTGGTCATGCACGGGATTTTCATTTAATGTTAGACATAGACCTATATAAATATATTGGAAATAAACTGGTATAAAAAAATATATTCAATTGAGTTTCTTGCCAGTTCTTCTCAATTGGATCTATATACTGAATTGTATGATAGGGGAAAAATATAATATAAAAAATTTGACCTGCATAAGCGGCTAAAATGTCCTACATGAATAAATGATTTTTGAATTTGAATTTATATATTTATAGCGACATTTGAAGACATACTGGTTTTATGACTGACTGACTGATTGGGACGTACTACATTCCGAACTGATGCTCTGTACACATTTAATATTATCATAAGTGTGTATAATAAACTACATTATTAATGTTTTGATTCTCACTGTATTCTAAATTTGATTTAATTCTTATTATAGCCTGATTCTTATTTTTACCCTATTCTTACTATGAGTCGATTCTTATTTTAAAATGATTTCTATTTGGAATAAATTCTTATTTTGACTCGATTCTAATTTTGAATTATGCTAAATATTGTGACATTGTTTGCAGTGGAGTTCGGCGCTCGCCACCAGCTGGCGCCCCCGCACGTGGCGTCCCTGCAGCCGGCGCTCGACCTGAACGCAGCGCACACCAGCCATTCCTTACTACAAGTAAGCTCTACCAGTATTTACCTGAACTACACTATATACAAAGTCGTTTGTCCGTCCGTAATATCTTACTAATATTATAAATGTGATAGTTTGAGAGTATGGATGGATGTTTGTTACTGTTTCACGCGAAAAGTACTGAACGGATTGTGATGAAACTTTACAGTAATATAGCTTATATATCAGAATAACACATATACTAAAGATATTAAGTAAATTAGGCGATATATAATGACAAATGTCAAATAAGTGTGATGCGGACGAAGTTGCGCGGGTAAACTGTATCTACATATAACATTCGTCGTGCAGACTGGCATCCCGAGTCCGGCATCGAACCCCAACCGGTTCGCGTACGCGACCCCGGAGCGCATCCGCCACAACCACACCTACAGTGCGCCGCTCGCCGCCGCCGACCAGCGGCCTGCCGCGGTCAGGGACAAGCGAGGTAACAGACAAACACACACCTAGTCTTAAAATACAACATAATACAATACAACCCAAAACGACACAACATAACACAGTACAATACTACACAGCACAGTACAATACTACACAGCACAGTACAATACTACACAACACAGTACAATACAATACAACACAATACAATATGGAGAATTTGACAAGATAAGCTAACTGACGTAACTTCATACTCATGTTATCATCCTCCACTGGTGCGTCGCTAGCGTAAACCATTAGCGCAGGCGGGAGCACCATTACATTATCATACATAAAAAACACAATAGAATACAATACAACACAACACAATACAATATACAGAATTTGTCAAAATGTACTAACTGGCCTAACTTCATACTCATCCTCCACTGGTGCCCCGCCAGCGTATACAGTTAGCGCAGACTGGGGCATCATTCTATGATCATCCATAACAAAATACAATACAATACTACACAACACAATACAACATGGAGAATTTGACAAGATGAACTAACTGACCTAACATGTTATCATCCTCCACTGGTGCCCCACCAGCGTAAACCGTTAGCGTAGGCTGCGGCATTTTTCCATTATCATCCATAATAAACACAATATAAATCTAAATTTACAGCCCGGGTCTAGAAGAGTCAGTTTGGCATGAAAATTAAAGATGTTTATTTCTTTAAAAACATAATGTTTACAATAATATAACGTTGGGATGATCTAGTATAGTATAGCAATGTATATCCCGCTCTTCCATTTCATATATTTAAAAAGAAAATTTAGTATTATAATAATAATAATCTCAGGACAATTCACACAGCGCCATCTAGTCCCAAGTTAAGCTAGCTAAAGCTTGTGTTATGGGTACTAGACCACTGACATAAATACTAATAATATATTATTTTTCGTAAATGCATAGATATTATACATAGAAAAAACCCAGACCGATACAAACATTTATACTTATGAAAATAAATTATTATGCCGTGCGAGGAATAGAACCCGCGACCATCGGAAGTAAAACGCTGTAACCAAACTTCTAGACCAAGAATACACTATTTATGTATATAGTCAATAATAAATTATTGTTGATTTGATTAAATCTTAATTTCCCCCCCACAGTCCGTCGCCTGACAGACGGGAGCATATCTGATGGGGGATCGTCAGCTACCAGTAGCGGGCAACACCTCACCAGGGATGAAAAGAGGGCCAAAGCACTTGGTGAGTTGTTCTTCCTTCTAAACTCATTTATAAAAATCTTAACGCAACATTACATAGTATAAAACAAAGTCGCTGTCGCTGTCTGTCCATCCCCTATGTATGCTTAATTCTTTAAAACTACGCAACGGATTTTGAAGCGGTTTTTTTAAGTAGATAGAGTGATTCAAGAAGAAGGTTTATATGTATAATACATGTACACCCGGGCGAAGCCGGGGCGAGTAGCTAGTTTAGAAATAAAGAACGAAAGAAAAATTATTGGCAATTATTTATTACTATAAAATTATACAATACTTACTGATCCCGCAAACGTTGTTTTGCCATATAAATTAAATAACAAGTATTAAAAAATAGGGGTTGGTGATAAAAGGGTGCAAGTATAGGGTTGAATGTATTTTTAATGCCAAATTATGAAAAATAAAGTATTGGCCAAAAAAATAAAATACGATAAGGGTGGACAATCACTTAAATGAAAACTACATAGTAGTCGATTCTCAGACCTACTGAATATGCATATAAAATTTCATAACTATCGGTCGAGAACAATCGAATTAAAATAATTAATGAAACAATTGAATAAAATTAATTAATGAAACATTTGAATAAAATTAATTAATTTAACAATTGAATAACATTAATTAATGTAACGATTTAAAAACATTAATTAATTAAACTATTGAATTAATATAATTAATGTAACAATTTAATAACATTAATTAATTAAACAATTGAATTAAAATAATTAATGAAACAATTGAATAAAATTAATTAATGAAACATTTGAATAAAATTAATTAATTTAACAATTGAATAACATTAATTAATGAAACAATTGAATTATAATAATTAATGAAACAAATAAATGAAATTAATTAATTAAGGTAATAAATTAATTTAATTCAAGGAATAAAATTAATTAAATGCATTAATTATGTAAATTAATAATTAAATATTTAATATTACTATGTATATAGACTAACGTTGATTTGTCTGTTTGTCCGCAGGTATACCACTAGAGGTACACGACATAATAAATCTGCCGATGGACGAATTTAATGAGAGGCTCTCTAAACACGACCTGAGCGAGGCGCAGCTGTCTCTCATCAGGGACATACGGAGGCGGGGCAAGAACAAGGTAACTCTCATATATCACATCAGGCGGGACGGAAGCTTTGTTAAGCGTATCAAGTCTGTAAATAAACTTCAGATAAGCTTTTTTGAATAGTCAATGTTGGTGTATGACTTGTATATTCGTAATCGTTAAACCAGGTCCATATTACCATTACATTTTATTTATATTTGTTTATATATATATGAATATTGTAATCAGAAATGGCACCCATTATCAGATCAGATTACAATATTCATAAAATTATGAATAAAGGTAATTATAATCTACCAGTATATACATAATGTTATGAATATTGTAATCTGCTCGCCGTAGTTATTACTGATACATTTTTATTTGTACTAGCTGCACCCGCGACGTCGTCCGCGTGGAATCCGTTTCGACCAGTAGTTTATTCTTGTGTTCCTTGGAGCTTAACTTTGTGTACAATGAGGAAATCGCCTAAACTTAATTATAATAAAATGATCGATACTTTAATAAGTTACCTTGAACTATTATCATATTAATTCGATGGACTTTATTCATATAACCAGATCAGGGCCCATACTATCTGTATATTCCATTTATTATTATTATTTACCTTTATTCTCGGCCTCGGTGGTCTAGCGGTTTAAGACACCGCCGTACTTCCGATGGTCGTGGGTTCGATTCCTCGTACGACACAAAAATTTGAATTCATGACTAGGAATATTTGTAACGGTCTGTGTATTTTCTATGTATAATATGTATGTATTTACGAAAAAAAATATCTATGTATTTATATTAGTTATCTAGTACCCGTAACACAAGCTGTAGCTAGCTTAACTTGGGTCTAGATGGCGCTGTGTGAATTGTCCTGAGATTATTATTATTATTCATCATTCTATGAATATTGTAAATAGAAGGCGGTCCATATTGCCGGTACATTGTGTTTAACTGTATTGATATGGTATCCAGGTGGCGGCGCAGAACTGCCGCAAGCGCAAGTTGGACCAGATCACGTCGCTAGCAGACGAAGTACGCACCATGAGGGATCGCAAGCAGAGGACGCAGAGAGACCACCACTCGCTGCACGCAGAGCGGCAGCGAGTCAAGGAGAGGTTCGCCGCGCTCTACCGGCACGTGTTCCAGGTAACTAAAAACATAGACACATACAGCGTCAAGGATTTCATTCGCCGATTGACCTTAAATACCAATGAAGTCTCATCGGCAAACGAAACCATGTCTGCTATCTTTTCTACCATGTAAAGAAGATCATTTATATAAACTAAAAATAAAAGAGGACTTAAAATAGATCCCTGAGGAACACCCGTTTTATCACTAACTCCTTCAGACTTTACACCATTTATTTCATCAATTTCATCAATAATGATTCAAACGGAAAGTTTATATATATAATACATGTACATCCGTACGAGAACATAACTTTTATAAGACACTTGTTGTTCAGGCGCACGTACTATATTTGGCCCAATATATTATTTTAATATAGCAACTCTAGAACGTCGGTATTTCAGCGGGCCAGAGACAATACGCTAACCGTTACAAGTTCATATTTAAAGTTCGCTAACGATCATATACGTATTATCACACGCAACCACTGTAAACCTATTTTCAAGTAGACTTATTTTCTCTTATTAATTATTTAACCAGTTGTTGTATATTGAATGTTTTTTCTATTTTATTATTTCATTGAATTAGTGCTAATCGGTGGTGTGTATTCACACACTTAAACTTAAATTGTAAGTAAGAATAAATTATTTAAAAGAGCAACACACAAGTTTATTGCTTGTTCTTCTTGTAATGAGACATAATTCCAAATGATCGGTAGATTAAAAAAAAAATGTTATGACTATTCAAAAGTGCTTCAATGTAATTTTATTTGAATAAATGATTTTCTATTCTATTCTATTCTATTCTATTCAAGTAATTAAAAAACTAGCCAGGAATCTCAGAGTTTGATTACACCATCAAGACCCTCTTCTCACTAAAAGGCGTAAATACTTGTTATACCGGTTAAGAGTATGTTCTAGAGGCTAGTATCTCGCGGAAGACCATGGCCGACTGAGAATAAAAAAAAATATGACACTAGAAAACCTAAGAAAGGTTACGTTAGGTGTAAAAATTGTGGCACTAGGTTCGGAGTACTCGCCTTGAGAAAGGCAGCGCCCGAATCAAGATATCAATTAGTATCATTAAACCCAGTTCCCTGGGGTCCCTTTTCCCCAGCCCAAAAGGGACCCCGAGGCCCCAATCTGGCTCGGATTATATATGTCATGTAGAAATAAACATTAAATTTATTTATCTTTATATAATATATATAGGTCCCAATCTGGTGCGTTAAACCTATTCCATGTAAAAAAATACAGAATATATTTGTTTTGTTGTAGAATCTGCGCGACCCCGAGGGTCGTCCGCTGTCTTCTTCGCAGTACTCGCTGCAGCAGGCGGCCGATGGCAACGTGGTGCTGGTACCCAAGATGTCACAACATCCCGGTATGTAAATATACAAAAATTCATATTATATTATTTATTTATTTATTTGCTTTGAATAGGTTACATTGTTCTTACAAATTAATTTACAATTCAATATTCAGCTGCATTTTGAGCATGCAAGAAAATTATATGTAGGTAACACAATTGTTAATTATTTCTACCAAAAATACAAAATTCTTTATTTGAATAACACTATTATAATAATTCCTACCTAAAATACGCAAGTAAGCAGAGCTTGTGTTATGACTACTAGATAACTGGTATCAATACATAAATATATTTCTTTTGTAAATACGTTCATATTATACATAGTAAACTCCCAGGCCGTCACAAACAACGATACTCATGAATACAAATGTTTGTACCGTGCGAGGAATCGAACCCCCGACTATCAGACATGCTAGACCACCGTGGTCGAGGTGCGATTCCTCGCACGGCACAAACATTTATATTCATGAGTATGATTGTTTGTATCAGTCTGGATGTTATCTATGTATGTATGTATTTAGGAAAGAAATATATCTATGTATTTGTATCAGTTATCTAGTACCTATAACACAAGCTTTGTGTGAATTGTTTGGAGATTATTATTATTATTATTATATTCTTATTTGTTTTCTCCCAGATCACCCAATGAACAGGACGTCAGACGATGAAATGGACAGAAAGGCAAAGAACTTCGAGCAGTGACACGCGCCTCTGTACCCCAGATGGTAACGAACATACAAACACAAGACTACAACGCAATAATATATAGGATTTATAGTTACACATCTATGGTCTCATGTTACCCACCATAGACACCAACAGTGCCGCCATATTGAAAATGTGGAATTGGCGTGAATTATTCTATGTTGTCTATGGAAATGTTTACCGCGAATTCATTGCAAAGATAATTGTGATGTAAAGAAATAAAACATATACATATAAAACTGTTTGTCCTAATTGTCATCGCAGACTCAAAACTACTATATGTTATTATATAATAAGCTAAAAATATTGTTTGAAGATTACAATGTGACGACACATTGCGAACAAATCCGCGGTCAATAGCTAGTTATTCTGTAAATGTCTATAATTACGCACAATGTTTAACTAACTTTACGATTATCTTCATAGTGAATTCTACGTATTTCCTATATTTATGGTCTCATTTTAAAGTCTTTCATAGACAACGAGGTTTTCATTTGTCTATGCTTGCCTTTAAATAGAATACCATTGTTTTAATGTCTCTGAGGTCAGGTTATGGCAAAAATTAAACTAATGTTTTGTTGGAAAATAAAGAGCAGGTTAATATGTATTTGTGATTGATAAATTATATAAATTTTTAATCTTCTTTCTCGAAATTTATACAACTAATATAAAAGCACAGAGTAAATTTGAATGCAGATAAAATTTTTGACACTTTTGTTTTTAATGTTACCTTTCACATAAGCAAAAGTTACAACGACATACAGCCTAATATAAGCTTGAATAATGGAATCTTAAATATATAGGGTTATTCGTATAAGGTACAACCAAGTCGAAAGCGAGTAATAGAAGTCATATTAGTGAACAACTCTACCAAATAAGTGGGCTATCGATTTTTTTTCTTAAAACTCCTGATACAACGTGCCTAGTCGTAAAATTTTACGAAACAAAAAATTTTTACGCAAACCTACAAAATTCAATTTCAGATCTCCATTTTGTTTTTTGTCACATGTTAAGGGAGACAGGGTTGGTAAAGTGTGACAAGTGTCCTAATTTTTTTATACCACGTAAGCAGCAAACAAGCATACGGCCCATCTGATGGTAAACGGTTACCGTAGCCTATGCACGCCTGAAACACCAGGGGTGTCACGTGCGCGTTCCGACTCATAAAAAACTTAATATACCATTCTTGAAAAGCTTTTGTGAAGTCACATTTCAAAGTATAATATATCGAACTTTTAATACTGAAATTGGACTATTCAAATTAAAAAAACATTTATTCATGTAGGACATTTTATCCGCTTATGATCGTCAAGTTTTTTTATATTATAATTTTTTCCCTACCGTCCAGTTCAATATTCAGATTTAATTGAGAAGAACTGAACATTTCAATATAACATGTAATGTCACACTGGGGGATTCATAAATGTGACCAACTGTGACACAGACAGGAGGGGGTAAAAACACTAAAAATCTGTGATTTAATTTATAGATTGCTTTTATAGATAGCTCCAAAATATGCTCTTTTTCAAATGAGATTCCTTCAATATTGTGACGTTAGATTTCGGTTCAATGTTGCCTTTTACAAATAACCCTATTTAACTCATATTGTCTATGAAATATCAGGCAATCCTAATGTAATACTACCATAAACTAGCGGTTTTCACGGTGCTTTATCTAGCCATTGTTTTATTACTATGTATATCGAAATTTATATAATTTTTGTGATAATAAAAAATATTCCATTTTTGTTAGTGTCTTCGTTAGTTTTAAAGTTCACATTGGTATATCAACATCAGTAGTTCTGCTCGACTTCTTTCATTAAACCATCGACATATAAGTTTTTTTTTAATTATGACTTTTTTATAGAAAAAAAAATACTTAAAACAAAAATATAGATATGTGGATCTATTGTTTATCATATACGAAATAGTTTCGTAATATTTTCGAGTATTTTCTATTAGAAATCCCAAAATGTAATATAAACACATAATTAAAGTTTTAACTAAAAAAAACATGTCTGTACTTATTTTTCTGTTGTAAAAATAAATATTGTCATATTTTAGTAAAAATTATGTAAAAAAAAATATTATATGTCGATGATTTAAAATATGTTATTAATCCGAAACGACTGATATAAAATTAAAAAAAAAAACATAGTCTAGAAATTTGGTGTCTATGACACCGTCGCGTTGCAATAAGTAATCGTAGATCGATTATAACTATTTTATTTTGTAAAATACTTTTTTTTCTCTTGCTGTTTATTTATGTATATTAAAAAGTAGGTAAGTTTGTTATAGAATTTTGAATTCTGTTTTTTTTTATTTCGCTATTTTTCCGATGTGTGAAGAAAATTATACGCATGCTTGATAATAAAAATGGTTTAAAGAAAAATATGAAAATTTGTTAAAAACCTTTATAGCAGAAAGGCATAAAGTCGAATTTGCAAAATTTCTAATTTTTGAGTTGTTTACAGTTTATTGTTAAGCGTGCAATTTTATTTTTTCTCGATACAAGTACAAATTGTAGATATTGCCAGATTTTTATACGCAGCTCCGACTATAGTAACTGTATCTATATACGCTGTTTGTGTGCCTTGCATATCGATAGTATTTTATCGATAGTCGATAAAATTATATATCGATGCAAAAGGCACCTCTATCGACACTGTTGTAATAATTCTCTGTTGTAAATTTGGATGCGGAGTCAAGTATACTTGTAGTTTAAGGTCAGTGTTTATATTTGTTTTTAAACTGACCTTATAAGGTCTACTATAAGTCTATGGTAAGCCATATTTGGCAAATTTTTTCAAAGACAACATGCACATCAATTTATTATTTTGTCTATAGTCTGCTATTGTTTTTACTTCGTTCTTCCTGATAGCCATCGTTGTCTTTAAAAAAGTCGCTTAGTATATGTAAATTATGAGAAATATTTATATGCTGTGGTGCATATTTTTTTAACCTAGCGCATAGACAATGGCTTTTAACTGAAATCAATTTAAAATATTAAAAAAAATGTTTACATATTTATTAATTTAAGACTTAAGTAGGCCACGGGTAAAGCATTTCACTTAAGTTTTTGTTCGTTTTTTTATCGAAAAGTAGGTGAAAAGGCTGTGGGATCTTCATGGTTTTCCGGCGAAAAAAACATTGTCTGTGGTGTTGTGGAAATGGCGCGAATTTTTAATCTGTATCATATGTCATTTTCATGCCGCCATCTTGCAAATAGAATATCGCCGGTGAAAAATATTTAACACAATGCAGTTCACAGTAACATGATTTTTATATCTTATAAATAAATATGTATATTAGTAATTAGTAAATAAAGAATAATCCGTTTCATTTATTGTATCATAAACAGGATACAAGTTGATACATTTATATATAACAACTTCGGTAGCCTAGCGGTTTACACACCGCCTTCCTTCTGATGGTTGTAGGTTCAAATAACACACCATACAAACACTTCTATTCATGAATATCTGTAACGATCTTGTTTTCTATATATATTATGTATGTATTTACAATAATATATATTTATTTAGTACACATAGTACAAGCTCTGCAAGTATCTACATGTTGGGCACTAGATGGCGCTGTTTTAAAATATCAAATTTTGTAAATACATAGAAAACTTCAATACCAATACAAAATATATAAACACACACACACTTAATGACAATGAATACAAGTTTGTAGCGAAATTAAATCGAACATACGAATAAATAAATATCAGGTCAATTCAAACAGCGCCATCTAGTCCCAAGTTAAGCTAGCTAAAGCTTGTGTTATGGGTACTAGATAACTGATACGAATACATAGATATATTTTTTTAGTAAATACATACATATACACGCAGACGGATACAAACAATCATACTCACGAATATAAATGTTTGTGCTGTGCGAGCAATCGAACTAGCATCGGAATTAAGATATTTTGCGATACCGCTGCACCACCGTCGTCGTATTGTATGGAAGGTAAATAAATAAAAATGATGTTACTATGAATGATTTGCCAGTTTTACATAAATATAAACTCGCAAGATTGCGTTGCGACGTGTTGTAATATATTATTACTGATTGTTAGCACTAAGGATTTCTTTTTTACTGTAACAGAATAATTTAAGTTAGTTGTAATACATATATTTAAGTCTTAATATAAAAATGAAATTTTGTTACTTGTTTCATTTCTAACTTATAGGCATATATAGTACTTTTGAAGATATTCCTCACGTTAAAAAAACATATAGTATATAGCACCAGCTCTGCCCGCGACTTCGTCCGCGTGGAATCTTCGTTTGAGTGACCTTGGATAACAAAATATTTAATAATGCAACTCAAAAAATAAAGTTTTATTGTCCTAGCCTGTAAAAGACGAATTTCCATACCAACTTTTATACTCTATAAACAACGTTAAGGGTACAATTTTTGAAAATTTTGAATGTCATTTATCTATATTTAATCAACAGATTTCATTTTAGCTTTTAAGTGACGATACCTTCAATCTTCCCTTTCAACCCTTATTTCTCATTAAAATGTACCCTATGCCCATAGAGTACCTCAGAGTATATATAGCACATCTAATGGTAAACGGTTACCGTAGCCTATGGACGCGTGAAACAGTGTGTCACGTACGCGTTGGAGCCCCTTAAGAAACCTTAATATACCCTTCTTGAAAAACTTGAGTATTTTCGTTAAATATTCAAGTAATTTTTTATCATTACAACTGTCACCTGTCGTGCGGTTAAGTTTGCTATATAAGTTGATAAGAACTGGTGAGAAATTCATCTGGGTTTCCTTTTCTTTGATATTCTTCTTCGGCAAAAGTAAACCTTACAACTTAATATGCTACATCATGGGGTTTTTCAAGGGTTCTTGAAAAACCCTTACTTTAGTCGCGAGAAAACTTTAAATACTTGAAATTCCCTATCGTGCTAAATCAGAACTGGGGAGAAAAACAACTAGTCTCCTTTTTTTTAAATAATAATTTTAGGCAAAAGTCAACCTTACATAGACTTTACCGAAGTGAATTAAGGGGAAAAAATTGGAAATAAAAGTTCATATAAGATTATAATTTATAACATATTTATTATACAATGCACAAAATGCATCCTAAATATAACATAACATCTCTCAGAATAATAATTCATTTTTCAGGTATCACTAATTTGTAAACTCAATGAACGTTTATATAAAAGTTTCAAATGTACCTGTGTGGTTCGATAAATTTAAAAATCATTTATTCTCATTTTAGCCGCTTATGAACGTCAAATTTTTTATATTATAATTTTTTTCTATTTTTCGGATTCCAATGGTATATTTTTAAGATTTACATTTATGTGACTATATAAAAGATAAATCAAAAACTACTGGTTAGATCACAATTAACAACTCACACAGTGCCATCTAGTTCCAAGCTACGCAGAGTTTGTGTTATATGTAAGTACTAGACAACTGCTATAACTACACTTTTTTTTTTAAATCCAGACGGATGCAAACAATCATTCTCTTGAATACAGATGTTTGTGCTATAAAGTAAAGCAGTGTGCACCGTTAGACCACCTCGGCTGCCAGGTATTTAAATTTCAATACGATTCAGCTGTACTAATAATTAAATTAAATAAATTATAAAACGTAGAAAAAAGTTCAGCAGTTCGAAATGAGAACATCTTTATTTTAAAGTCGGTTGAAAATTTTTATTTATGTTTCTTAATCTCACTTTTCATCAATTAAATTTTTTTTTTTTTAAAGTAAAAATAACTTGTAAAAAATATCAAATGTCACCTCCATAATGCTATAAATTGGCGGGAAATTTCTAATACCTAATACAAATTTATAAAAGTCTTAACTATTATTTTCTACATCCATAAATGCAAACTATAATATTTATGGTGTCTAAATAAAATAGTGTTAAATCATTTAGTGAAATCTGGTGTTGAAGGATGGAGAATTAGCTGGAAAGGAATAAGGAATGAAGAACTGCATGGAATGGTTGAAGATTGCGGAAAATGGCAAGAGTTGCACCGACAAGAGCGAGGCTCTTAAATTATGAATGATTGAGTTTTTAGCAATATATAGTGATCCAAGAGGAAAGTTTAATGCATGTACATCTATAAGAATTTGGGGCGCGTAGATAGTATAGTATATATTGCAGAGAACATAGAAAAAAAATATAGGAATAATGTATGTTTCAAACAGTCAAATATTTCCTCAAATTGGTCCGGTGATTCTGTACAGAGTTTACTTTCATCGATAACAAAATCCGCCTTTCTCGCTCTCTCTGACTATCTCTCTTTCACACACACATACGTCATTATAACACAAATGAAACATATTAATATCCAGCTTGTCCTACCATCCATGCTTTTTCCATAGACAGAATATATCATTTACTAATTGACGTCTGGCAACACCGAACACTATTTTCTTTAGACATCACATATACATACATATATAATATAAATTAATAACATTATGTAATACAGTAATAATATTTTGATTTTTATAATTAAACCTAGCATACACTTTATTCAGAATTAAATATAACATTATATCTATTTTGATTTCTTAATATTTCAAAACAATCTCAAATACGATATTCAGCTACAGATATTTTTAGTATTGCTAGCAATGTTTTAAGTCAGATTGACCTCCACGCGGTTCCCCTTGAAAACTTCTCAGACCTCATGCTCGTCTTATCATCCTCCTAGAGGAGGTATTTTCAGTATTTGGGACTTCATCCCTTGATTGCTAGTCATATACCATATCAGGTTGACCTCCACGCGGTTACCCCTGGAAACCGTCGTGATATATTTATGATGAATTTACCACGATGGGCTAACTAACCTCATGCTCATCTTATCATCCTCCACTGGTGCCCCGCCAGCGTGTACCGTTAGCGCAGGCGGGTGGACCATTCCATTATCACAAATTAAAAAATATCTTATTAATATTATAAACGAGGAATTTTGTGAGTATTAGTATTTTGTTTGTGAGATGTTTGTTACTCTTTCACGTAAAAAATACTAAATGGATTTTTGTGAAACTTTACAATAATATAGCTTATACATCAGAATAACAAGCTATAAATTGCATGTAGGTGAAACCACGGGCACAGATAGTATAAAATAAATTTTAAACTCATATTTTATTTGATTTTTTTACATAATACATAAAAAACACCTAGACTGATACAATCATACTCATGAATACAAATGTTTGTACCGCGCGAAGAATCGAACCCGCGACCATCAGATGTAAGCCTGTCTAGTGAGGTAGAGGCTGAATAAATTTAAAACGTTGTTTCGAAATTTATTGACACTTTTCACCAGCAATTCTCCTGAAATGTGAATTGCATTATGGACCTTATATGTATGGAGTTAGGAGCTAGAGGCAGAATGGATTGTAAATGTATTTTCTCACAATATTTGATTTTATATGTGAATTAAATATAGACCTTAATATATGGAGTTAGGAGCTAGAATATTTTGTTTCCATTTGATCTGAGATGTGAAATATATTATTGACCTTATACATATATATATATAGTTAAGGTTCAATGTGGCGCACTCGGCGGCGGGAAGCAGCGCACATGTTCGACGGCGGTCCGCTCGTCCTCGGTGGTAAGGTGACGCGCCAGGATGCCGAAGATCTGCGAGTTGAGGACCTGGAACCGTCTGATGCGGTCCACCATCCTCTTCAGGGGCTGGCAACAGAATTTATTTCTTTAATGGATCATTACATAGTATAAAACAAAGTCGCTGTCGCTGTCTGTCCGTCCCAATGTATGCTTAAATCTTAAAATTACGCAACGTATTTTGAAGCGGTTTGTTTAATAGATAAGAGTGATTCAAGACGATGGTTTATAAATATAATACGTGTACACCCGTGCGAAGCCGGGGCGAGTAGCTAGTAGAATATAAAAGTTAAAAATACAATTGAGAGTGCCTTTAAATTCTAAATATATAATTATGTACAACATTTATTTAAACGAGGAACACGCAAGTTTTGTCCTGGTTCTAGTTGTAATGAATTTGCGTTTCCATTGAGCGGTAGAATAAAAAAAATATACATATATATGACCATTCAAAAGCTCTCATATTAAGTTGTATTGAATAAAAAATATTTCTATTCTATTATCCTCGTTGTTTTCAATCTTGAATGCCGAACCGAGTGAGTCCGACACTAAAAACTGTGTGTAATTTTATATTTCTGACTGACTCTCCAGTAAAAGAATCCAAACGATTTCAAACCAAAAATTAGTCCGAGAGACGTCGGCAGTCCCTGCCATATAGGATATATCACCTTTAGCAGATGCACTATAGGAGCTAACCAAATGCTTTCGGGTAATAACTAGACGAGAAGGGCTGAAGATCGCCCTGTTGCATGCTTTAGAAGAGGCCTTTGTCCAACAGTAGACTGCAGTGGGCTGATGATGATGATGATGATGATGATGACGGTGATGATGATGACGGTGATGATGACGACGACGATGATGGTGATTGTATATGCATGTACAATTATAAATATACACTCACAATGCCTTTAACGTTCTCATCCTTGCCGTCGACGCGCTGCACCCGAAGTATGTGATAACAGTAGTCCAGGGCTTCGAACCTGCGCTGCTGGCCCAGCAGGGCGATGATGGTGCAGCCAGCCCAGTGGAGACCCTCGCCGAACAGCTCCCTGGGAGATATCACATATTTTATGTCACTGGAATGGTAATTATGGCCCTGTTGATGGTAAAAGGTAATCGTGGAGTGGTAGCGCAGTGTGATGTAATGATTGATGGTTGAAGGTCGAAAACGTAGGGTTATATGTACTTTTAATGGGGAATAATAAAAAAAATTTTGTTCAAACATTTTCTAAATTTTTTGAGCCTGATCACCGTTGTCACTTTAATGTCCCCCCTTCTATTGATCCCCCATCCAAATCAAACGGAGATCGAAATTACGACGGCCTGAGCCGAGGTTCGAGCCCCTAGCAGTGCCCTCAGACTTTATATTGATATGTCAAATCTGCCATCAGTTCGGAATGATTTCGAGATGAGAAGAACTGACAAGAAACCCAGCTCGTATTCTTTACTTTATAAATCTGGTACAACCATATGTGTTTACAATATTCTGAATAATAAGTCCGAAAAAAATCACTATCTCATCACTAGGAGGGTATTAAAAATAGTTTACTCTATTGTCAATAATTTCCGCGATATAAGATTTTTTTGATATGTTTTTCACATGTTGGGTTACATCAACAAAGTTTTCATATGGATCCCTAAAGTTTTTGCACAAATAAGAATTTTATATATATTCCCAGATCTACTGAGGAGTATGTGTAACGAGAATTTTATAAATTATATACTCTACTTACTCAACAGTAAACTGAGTTTCGCCAACTGGTATGCAGTACAAGAATTGTAGGGCGGACCACAGCCTATAAATTAATAAAAATGCACATTAATATTATTTAATTATTAATCAATCAATCAATTTATTTAATTATTTATTAAAAGAAAACCAAGGCTATTTAAGTACATCTTAAATAAAATCTATATAGACGTCATACTAAGCCACTGACGGGCTTTCACTAATAACAACAGACTAAACATTTTTAAAAAACTTCTAATAAATTGAAATTTTCTTGTCATCACTACATATAAAGGCAAATACACATAAAGTTAACATAGAATATGAAATTAATTAACAAAAGTACAGTAACAAATAGTGAATTTATACAAATATATACATATACATGATCTTCAATAATGATTAATTGTTATTTAAAGAAGGGCTCACTTAGTTGGTGTCCTAAAATTATAAACATTTATATATGTTTTGTGTATGACATGTTCTATTCACTACTATCCTAAGAGGCTGAAAGGACCTTGATAAAATTTGACATAAATATGAATTGTATCATGAGAATGTGTAATTTTCTTCGTTTTTATCGATTTTCTCGTAACTTTGACAAGGTTTTCTTTTGGTTGTTGTTTTTTATTGATTCTACTGGAATTTACTTGTTCATTTTGTGTTTTGTTTAGTTTTCACAGTACTGGGTACCTGTGGAACTCGAGGGTTAAATATATATGTATATATTTTAATTTTTACTGCCTCTGGTATATGTGAAACTTAAGAGTTAATATAACTCTTTTTTTTTTTTAATTTTTACTACCATGAGTACATGTGGACCTAAAGGGTTATTTTATATTTTGTTTTCTAGTTGTTACTACTCCGGTCACCTATGGAACTAGTTTCACTGCCCTGAATACGTATGGAACTCTTTTCTATTCGCCACTGCCCTGGGTACTTGTGGAACTCAATGGGCATATTTTGTTTTATTTATTATGGTCACGGCCCCGGGTACCTGTGGAACTCGAGCGTGTCGTCAGCGTGGAGCGGGGCGTGGTGCGGCGCGGCGGGGGGCGCGGGCCACTCGGGGCCGGAGAGGAAGCCCCGCAGCCTCCGCAGCACCACCGAGAACAGCGACAGCCCGCAGCACAGCCGCTCCCGGGTCAGCAGGTCGCCCTCCCGGGACAGCTGGCCCTGCTGCTCGCGGGACAGACACACGCACATCGTAACCACCCAACAGAACTAAGTATATATACTTCATTGCACTCACAATATGCATACCCCTAAGCGAACCACCCTTATCACTTAGGGGTATGTATTTTCTATCAAAACTTTTTCTAAAAGTTTTTTATATCCAAAAATATTTTTGGAATGCATACAACTACTATTTCTAATTGTCACGGGTTCAATTTCTCGCACAATACAAATATTAATATTAGTGCCCTGTGAGTTTTTAGCTTCATTAGATACCTCTTCTAATGAAGCTAAAAACTCACAGAGCACTAATATAAATTGCACCATTCCATTGTCATACATACATTAATGGAAAGATAATGGCATCCATTACATATATTGTTGTTTATCGGTTTAGCACACCGCATAACGTACATAGAAAACACCCAGACCTATACAAACAGTCATAAATATTTATACCGTGCGAGGAATCGAAACCGCGACCATTGTAAATAAAGTCATTTACTAAACACAAGACCAGCGAGGCCGTCGCTATATCGTCGTATACATTCGTCATGTCATTAGTTTCTTGCTCATTCTTCTTGTGATGGAATGAGTGGTAGAATCAAAATATGCTTCTAATGAGTTTATTTGAATAAAGATTATTTCTATTTCTATTTCTATTAGACCTTATTGTGTAAACCTTTGTATCACCGCACAACCAAGGAGTGAGTACTGGTCTACTGAGACACAGGCCTCGTGCCTAGTTCAGTTCCCAGGCTCATACAATCGCAACAAACTGTTTATGGATATGAATTAAGACCTATAAATGATTGTTGCTTAGTAATAAAAAAAACTGGTCACCACTCACCAAGAAATTCATCATGATCTTGTTTGCTGTTTCAGATGATAAACAAAAGGTTATAATTGTCATACCTTGGCGGTGCCGTACTTGTCCACGTTCTGAACTATTTGCAGCGCCGAATACTTGGCTTCTAGACGCTTCTGCTTCGTCTCCGGTTTCTCACCCTCTGTGGATAATACCTCTCTGGACTACCAAGTTTAACATATGATAAACCTAGGCCTGTGCACAACAAAAATCTGCAGATTTTGCCAAACTATAGAGGAAACGCCACTACAGGTCCTGTAAAAATCTGCAGATTTTGCCAAACTGAAGAGGAAACGCCACTACAAGTCCTAAACCACATAGGACGTGTGGCCTTTTCTCTTCAGTTGACCGTCACTGTTGCTTGAACATCAAGAACGCGGCCGTGAGTGTTTTTTCTCAATAATTAATTCAAATTGCAAATTAAAGTGAACGAAACTGTGGAAACTATTTAATAACATCAGACAGAGTGTGTGTGTTTACCAGTTCCGGGACACGCACGAAATGGTGAAACAATTCGACGGGTCGCCGTAATTATCAAGACATTATTGAATATAAAAAAACTAAGTATATCGAACATAGGGACTCACCCGCTGTATACGCGCGCGGTAGAATGTTCTGGAACGGCGCCGCATGCAGTAAGTCCGTCACTTCCTCCTGACTGAGCGCCTGTAGGTAAATAATAATAATAATAATAATAATCCAGGACAAATTACACAGCGCCATCTAGTCCCAAACAAAGCAGAGTTTGTGTTATAAGTACTAGACAACTGACAAAAATACTTAATTATGCGTCCCTAGTACTGTCATCCACATAGCAAATTCAAATTCATTTATTCATGTAGGACTTTTTATTATGAACGTATTTTTTATTATATTATATTTTTTTCCCTACCGTCCAGTTCAGTGTATAGATTCAATTGAGAAGAACTGGCAAGAAACTCAATTGAATATTTTTTTTATAAGCCAGTTTATTTACAATGTTTATTTATATAGGTATCTAACATTAAATGAAAATCCCGTACATGAACAACTATTGCCATGTACAATCGTCATTCAAGTAATAGTTTAGAGAGTAATAGACTTTGCTCAGTAAATATGATTTAACAGTTGCAATGAATATTAACTGTGGTTAACAAATCATTGATATGCAGCAGAAACAGTGTCGGGCATAGAACAGAGCCTTGCGGGACGCCAGCGTTAATGTCCATGCTATCGGAGCAACTACCGTCTACCACGGTTTTGATGCATCTGTCAGACAAAAAACTAGCGATCCATTTGTATAATTCCTCTGGTGGAATACCAGAGGAATTTCGATAGCAGACAGCAGATGCCAAACCAAATCCTTCCTATGTCAAAGCCGAAGACTGAAGAAATAAAAAAAAATTACCATCAGAATTTAGGATTCGATTAGGCTTGTTTACCATTCGAGTATAAAAATAATAATTGAGAATTGAACCCGTACCTGTTCTATGAGCATGCAGAATAGTATAATGTTGCCGAGCTCTCTGAACGAGTGGAACAGTTCTGTCCGCGCGTCGGGATATTGCACGATGTCGGTCAGCTGCGCGTGGTAGTAGCCCAAAACACCTGTGTCAAAACACCAATATAGTAATTGAGCGGAGCGCGAAGCACGGAGCGATCTTAGAGATCAGAATTGCACTCTTTGTAACGATACTCCTCCGAAACTTGACCGATCGAGACCAAAATTTCATGGAAGGTCGACCTTCGGGCCTCCATCGTTTACCACTCAAAGAAATCCTGATCGGTTAAGGTACGGTTTATAAGAATTATCGCGCTCCACGCAACATGTAACCTGGTGTGTAAATCACACACCTGTAACAAATCTAGTTTATATCTGCCTTTACATGTACGCTCATTTCTTTCTAGTTATGAATATAAATATTGCTGATCAAATTTTAATGTAACATCTTATATACTGTACCAATATTTCGCAAATAAACTCCTTCATTCCAATTTATTTACACGTATGGTCTTTCACTCGCAAATCGCCTATCACATAGAAAATGATCATCAAATTGATTGAACTGCCAACACAGCTGTTGTGGTGGGGTTCTTTTGTGTTGAGATGGTGAGATAATAATGTCAATAATGTCAATCAGTATTTTTGACAACAACTATTATTAAAAACGTAATCGGTGAGGAGGCCGTATATACACCTAACAACTGCTATGTATATTTGTGAATAAGTTTATCCACGGATCCTCAAAGGTGGAGCGCACGAGATTGATGCGCGAATTTTCTGCGAGCACGGTTTTCTCGTCTACATTTACTTGTACATTCGCTCCTGCGTGAAAGGACGTACGTGTAAAGGTAAATAATGGTGGTAAAGGTACTGACCGTTGGAGCCGTAGTCGTATCTGGGCAGCTTGCAGTGTCGCGGCATGGCGGAGGACAGTGCGCGTGTGAACTGAGCCAGCGAGCCGTGCAGCAGACCGCCAGCCACGCCCAGCAGCTGCGACACCACCACCGCCACGCCCTGGTAGCCCAGCAGCCGCACCAGCGCGTGCAGGTGCTGCGGGCCCACGAACCCTGGGGACACGGGGAGAGTCAGTAACGAGCAGAGCAGCAGTAGCAGTTGCGACACCACCTTCGTAAAGTTGTCAATGTGTACTGGTTCCTCTGTGTACTGCCGAACTGGAAGCTGCGGCAATGCTTGACACCTGCCTGAAGGAGCATAGATGGCAGTGGACTACTACTTGACTTCGTGGAGTACGCTAGTGCGAGCTGGAGCCCCACGGTAGTGCGTGTCCTGCCTCACCTGCGTACTGCGCGTACTGCGTGGAGTACGCTAGTGCGAGCTGGAGCCCCACGGTAGTGCGTGTCCTGCCTCACCTGCGTACTGCGCGTACTGCGTGGAGTACGCTAGTGCGAGCTGGAGCCCCACGGTAGCGCGTGTCCTGCCTCACCTGCGTACTGCGCGTACTGCGTGGAGTACGCTAGTGCGAGCTGCTTGGAGCCCCACGGTAGTGCGTGTCCTGCCTCACCTGCGTACTGCGCGTACTGCGTGGAGTACGCTAGTGCGAGCTGCTTGGAGCCCCACAGTAGCGCGTGTCCTGCCTGTGGTGCTCTCTCTCGCGTCACGGCCGGCGCGAACTGGATGCCACGGCAGCGCACGAACCTGTCCAAGGGTTATCCGTCATATTTCTTTGTAGTTGTACTTCTATATAGACGGGATGTATTGAGATTTTTCGGTCACGAAAAAGCGTTACCGTCGCATGAAAACGGACGGAGAGAGGACATCGCAGCAGAGAGCGGGGAATCATAACCCTGCTGGCAACGAGTCCTCGCTTGTTTTATATTTATAGATGCAAGGGAAATATATTCATACGAAAAATTTACTCTTAGACCCTGCCGGCAGGAAGTCGTCCTTATACTTATCGTCGCAAGGGTAAAAATACTCAAAGAAAAACTTTCACTCATTGGTACTAAGATAGCACGTATTTCTATCCAAGTTTCTTGCTACATAAGTAGTTGTTATTCGGTTGAAAAGTGAGATATGGCAGCGAAATTACCGTGTACTGTGGCATGACATCAATCAACCATTTATTCATGTAGGACAGTTTTGTCGCTTATGAACGTAAAGTTTTTGTATTAATATTTTTTCCCTACCGACCAGTATCTAACCGGCCACCGGCCCTGTGATACCAATGTATATATACGATGGTATTTATTTACCGTCAGTTGGGCCTTTAGCTTGTTTTTTATTCCAATTAATATTGGTAGTAACTTTTGTCGATCTAGATGCAGGTAATGCTTATAATGACGACGGTGATATCATCATTAAAACCATCATCGAATTCATCACCAAAATCATCCTTAACGTGTAAAGAAATCCCAGAAAGTTTTATCATCATTACATAGTACATAGTATAAAACAAAGTCGCTGTCACTGTCTGTCCGTGCCTATGTATGCTTATCTTTCTAATCTTTAAAAAAACGCAACTGATTTTGTAGCGGTTTGTTTTAAATAGGTAGAGTGATTCAAGAGGTAGGTTTATATATATAATACATGTATACCCGTGCGTAGCCGGGGCGAGTAGCTAGTTAATTAATAAAAACTAAATAATAGTTTTTATAAATTAACAATTAGAAATGTTTTTTGTCACACCCCCAACAGATAACAATTATCATTTGCTATCAGGCGAGCCGTAAGCTTGCCATTTTACAATAAATATACGTACCGATCCGTTGCAGCGTTGTAGCAGTAGTTGGGCAGGAAATCGTAGTTGAGCTCCCAGAAGACGTGGAGTGTGATGCTACCGTACGGCGCTAGGACCCCATGATCAGATTCACGGAGTATCGCCTCGAACTCGTCCAGTGTCAGGTACCGGCTGAGGAGTTTGTGGCACAGACGGTTCACAGCGATCAGCCCCTCCAACTCCTAAGAATACAATGGTTTATTTGATAAAACTGAAAATTCTTACTGTGTCTAGTCTTTATATTCCGGTTCAATTGACGGACTTAATTTACTGAGTAAAGCCTATCACTCACTAAACGATTACTTCAATGACGATCGTGCATGGCAATAGTTGTTCATGCACGAGATTTTCATTTAATGTTAGACATAAATACACATTGTTAATAAAATGGTTTTTAAAATAAAAAGTAATTCAATTGAGTTTATTGCCAGTTCTTCTCAATTGAATACTGAAATGGGCGGTAAGGAAACATTATAATACAAAATATTTGACGTTCATAAGCGGCTAAAATGTCCTACACGAATAAATGATTTTTTAATTTCTCAATTTGATAGAACTTGAACAGAATACACACACACACACACAGATTTTCACAATCTTCGACGGCCTCGGTGATCTAGCGGTTTAACGCGCTTCACTTCTGATGGTCGTGGATTTCATTACGATGTTTTCGCAAGGTACAAACATTTGTATTCATGAGTATGATTGTTTGTATCGATCTAGGTGTTTTCTATGTATAATATGAATATATTTACGAAAAAAATATATCTATGTATTTGTATCTGTTATCTAGTACCCATAACACAAGCTTTAGCTAGCTGAACTTGGGTCTAGATGGCGCTGTGTGAACTGTCCTGAGATTATTATTATTAAATTACATTGCTATACATACCACTATCCCGGTGATGTCTCCGGCTTCGAACTTGGCTACGGCCGCTTCCAGGGCGCGGTGCATGTCCGCATTGATCCGCTGGCCCACCTGCCGTCACATTTTTTTATAGCGTAAACTAGCTGTCCCGACTAACGTTTGTTGTGTTTTGACATATAAATTTAAGCACTTATATCACTATTAAAAATAGGGGTTGGTGGCAGAAGGGTGAAAAGGCTGTATGTATTTTACTGCCACATAATAAAAAAAATAGTCGTAAAAATAAAAAAAATAAAATAGATAAACCAACATACCAGCGCGCAGAGATCCACATGCCGGCCTAGTAACGCCACGTGGCGCTGTCTGAGTAGAGACGCATATCTTCCCGCACCACCGCCGGTGCTGGCGCCACGAGCGGCACATTCCGCGCGATATCGCTTGTCTAGCAACATACTGCACAGAAAACGTATATAAGTTTTTTTCGGACTATTCTGATACTGGCCTTTACAGCTTCACCGGATGATGGGGGGCGAGTGCAGATGGCACTCCAAACCAAAGGAAGGACTTATGGAGCGGCTGAAGGCTAACTTCCACTTGATCGATACGACTTTAATCTGAGGGCACCGCTATGGTTTCGAACCTGGGCTCAGGCCGTCGTAATTTGGATCCCAGTTTGAATTAGACGGGAGATCGATCATTAATTTCATCTGAATCTTACATCTTCATCCTTCATCTGAAGGACAACTCCCTCCACTGATACGATTTCAGTCTGAGAGCATCGTTAGGGGTTCGAACCTTGGCTCAGGCCGCCGTTCGGACCCCGTCTGAATTGGACGGGGGATGTATTGGAGGAGAAAAACATAATAATATTAATATATCGTATGCTGACTCTCTATGATATCATATTCTTTTTTGGTAGGTGGCGAACCTACTATCTTCTTTAGAATAAACTAGATTTATAGGTTTCCATTACTAAGTATAAAATCTTTTGGCCAGATTAGAACTCAAATATCTCCCGTGTGAAGCCGTGTAATTTTGTTTTTATTGGGTTGTTTGGGCTATTGTCAGGTGCATGAACATGTAGTACTGCGACCTACATAGATCTATTGCGCTTGCTCTTTCTTAAAGTTCGCTACCTGGACCCGTAAGGGACAAGAATTGAAGGATATTCTTAGGAGCCGTATAGTTAAACTCTAGGGCGTGTGGCACATGACTCACCTGGAAGCCAACTGCTTGTAGTGCGCGTACACCTGCTCCGACAACTTGTAGACGAACTGGTCGAAGCACAAGTTGACTTCCGCCTCCACCTCGTCGTAAAGAAACTGTTTGCGGAACACCGTCAGCGCATACTGTGCGGAGTCGTTGTACAAGTCGAGTGGGTACAGCACGTATCTGCAAATATTGTTTTTTTTATTGGTAGTTTGCGTTATTGTCAGCACTGCGACCCGTATATATCTATTGTGCACGCCCTTATTCAAATAATTAATTACTAATATTATAAATGCGAAATTTGTCAGTATGAATGGATGTTTGTTACTCTTTCACGAAAAAACTAGTGAACGGATTTTGATGAAACTTTACAGTAATATAGCTTACATATAAGAATAATATACAGGCTATAATTAAAATAATCTATGTATAAAAATAGAGATATAAAATAGTGTTTCTTAGAAATAGAGATATAAAACAAGTTCGCTCTTGCACAAATTACTTTTATTGTTTATTTATTTACTAGCTGACCCGGCAAACGTTGTTTTGCCTTATAAATTAAAATCGGTATTAAAAAATAGGGGTTGGTGATAGAAGGGTGAAAATTTAGGGTTGTGTGTATTTTTTAATCCATAATATAAAAAAATAAAAATAATTATTTTTTTATAATATGGATCATTTCTTATGATATTATGGATATTTTTCGAAAAATTGATAAAAGTTTAACCCTTAACGCTTAGGGGTATAAAAATTAGTTATAAACCTGTTCTCATACCTAGACTATATACAATAAAATATCATCAAAATCGGTAAAACTGTTTTGGAGGAGTATAAACACGAAATCTGTGACACGAGAATTTTATATATTAGATTTGTTTTATTATTTAGATACTTTTTTCTCTTAGATATTTTTGTATAATATGGACCAAGATTAGTAGGCTTAAATATATAAAAATATTATCCGATTTTAAGGACCAAAACATATAAGAATTTTATGGTATAGTAATATGGTGCTTGGGACAAAAAAAAGTAACTCACTCCATCATGGCGGGCTCCTTGCTGCGCAGAATGTGGTCGGTGAGGATCCACGGCATGGACATGTCTATGGGGAACTGAATGCGCTTCTCCATGGTGATCAGGTCGTTGCACTCCTCGTTGTGTTGATGGCGGACCGTGCATTTCTGTGTATGGAAAACAATACATGCTATTTTTGTATGTCTCTTTTATTTAATGATTACATTTTTATTGTAAATGCACTGTAGTATTTTTAAACTATCATTTTGCTCTAACATTTTATAACTATGTACGGGAACAAACCTTCTGAAGGACTTATGGAGCGGCTGGAGGCCAATTTCTGCTAGATGGTGGGGTCGGTTTATTAGTTATTTTTTAAAAATACCTTTCGAATTAATTACTTTCTTTATATGATATCAAAAACTTTATAAATCTACACAAATAATTAATTGAAGTGTCTGTGTGTAATATAGTTTATACTCACATTGACTTTCCTCCCCATAGTCATCTCCAAATAGAACTCCCTGTACCACAGCTGTGAGAGGTCACAACACTTTTGTAGAGAATCTGTGGACAAAACAATATATTGTTACTTATAATAAGATTTTTTCAAACTATTCTAAAGCTGTTGGCCGCAACTGGCCTTTCCAACTTCACCAGACCATAGGGGGCTAGTGCAGATGGCACTCCAAACGAAAGGAAGGACTTATGGAGTTAAATTGAATCTAACTGAGCGAACTGAAGATCCACTCCCGACTGACGGATCTTTATAATATCTGAACAACATTTATTTAAAAAAGATATATGCAAGTTTCTTGCTCACTCTTCCTCTGATGAGTCTATCGTCCAAATGACTGGTAAAATTTAAAAAAATATGATTAATCAAAAGTAGAACGAACAAGAAACTTGCCTGTTGCTCTTTAAAATAAACATTGTTCCAAGTATATACATATTAACCCATTCCTTCCCGCTGTCCTATATTTAGGACACTATATTTAATATTTTTTTCAACAAACTATATATTTATACTATAGCTACTAATGAAATTTGTATTTTAAAATATTTTTTCTATTAAAATATGTTTTTTGGTAGTAATACATATTTACGTCATTTTAATACATATTATAACTTTTTTTTAATGTATTAAGACCTTAATCCTATTTCATCAATGCTTGGGTAGTGTACAATCGAACGGGTTATTAAGGATCAGGCGTGCAACAATCAACATATAAACCACTACGCACTCGATCTTTGTGCAAATAATATTGTGAGCGCTATGAATTTTAAGTTAAACTTCTAAAACATTATTATCACCTTCTTCCTTTTTACAAATCTTTCTACAATTACAATCTGTCAAGAATTTACAATCACTAACCTGACAAATTGAGTAGGTACGTCCAATAGAAGCTCTGGCGGTGGAACGTCTCGATCTGCTGAAGCGTGGCAGCGTCCAGGTCTTTGCGCAACGTCCTCCTGCCTCCAGACTTGTCGGAGATCAGCGCTTCCAGCTGTGTGCGGACCATGTACAGCTGGGTCGACGACGGACCTGGAAATGGTCATGAATTTGTTACTCCTGCGTTTTGCTCTATGTTACATCTCCATTATACAGATCAGCGCTGTCCAAACCATGGTCTGCGTCCACCAGCGACCCGCTGCTTGAATTGATGCGGCCCGATAAATATTTTTTCTTTATTTAACCTTTCGAATGTTCGTCGTCTGTCGCTGCGACCGAAAGTGAAAAGGTGGTATGCGCGCGCCAGCTGTATTTTTTCAAATGCGTTTCAAACTTATTTTGTTTTAAATAGGGATAAAATTGATTAAAAAGAAGTCACGGTTTCGCGGGCGCAGATCTGTAATAAGGCGGTAATCCGGTCTAAGAGGGGTGCACAGATCTGTGTCAAAACGTTCGAAGGGTTAAATAACAAAAATGTTGTAGAGAAAATTAGAATTTAACTTTTTGTAATCTCAAATGATTTCTCGTCGCTAACGAGGGTCCTACCGCCTGCTGGCCCGCAGCTCGCGCACGTACCTACGTTCCTGCGGGGCACCTTGAGCGCGAAGCTGGCGTCGTGGTCCTTCTTGCCGCGCAGTGCGGGGTCCTACCGTCTGCTGGCCCGGCCGCGCAGTTCCTGCTGGCCCCCTTCTTGCCGCGCAGTGCGGGGTCCTACCGTCTGCTGGCCCGCAGCTCTTACCTACGTTCCTGCGGGGCACCTTGAGCGCGAAGCTGGCGTCGTGGTCCTTCTTGCCGCTAGTGCGGGGTCCTACCGCCTGCTGGCCCGCAGCTCGCGCACGTACCTACGTTCCTGCGGGGCACCTTGAGCGCGAAGCTGGCGTCGTGGTCCTTCTTGCCGCGCAGTGCGGGGTCCTACCGTCTGCTGGCCCGCAGCTCTTACCTACGTTCCTGCGGGGCTGCTGGCCTTCTTGCACCGTCTGCTGGCCCGCAGCTCTTACGTACCTACGTTCCTGCGGGGCACCTTGAGCGCGAAGCTGGCGTCGTGGTCCTTCTTGCCGCGCAGTGCGGGGTCCTGCTGCGGCTCGCAGCCGCGCGCCCAGTCGCCGCACGTCTCCCGCACGGACGCCACGATGCTGACGGTTGAGGGAGGTATAAATGTTGAATCAACCGGGCCATCCGCTCCCCTCAAAGAGTGCAGAATGGGGGCTTTATACTAATATACACATTAAATTGGTGGGAAAGATGTCAAATCAACCGAACCATCCGTCCCCCACTCCAAGGGGATGCAGTTTGGAGCCTTGAATCCTAAAATAAACAGGAAATGAGGGGGCATGTTGTATCAACCGACGCATCCACATATCGACCCCCCCCCCCCCCCCTCGCCCTCCAGAGAGTACAGGTAGGAACCTCTATTCTAATATACACAGTAAGCACCTTAAAATGGCACATTTTACACCCCTAGACGGGTGTATTTTGGAGCCTCGAGGCCCCTTTGCACCGGTATAAACTCCGGATTAAACAAATTATTACTACTATTTAAGGTATCCAGGAGAGAAACCAAAAATATATTTTCTTAACCACCTACCTTCTGATCAAATCCTTCTTGTTCTTGATCGCCTTCCTAAGTGGCTCCCTGAGTACCAACTGGACAAAATCCTGCAGCTCCGCATATATGGACCTCCTGGCCGCATCAGCGAAGACCGTCTCCATCCGCGCCATCAGCACTTGGAGGCCCTTGATCATTGCTATCACTTCGATCATGGCGAATTTCTCTTCCGAAGTGTAATTATATCTTGTAGCCTGAAGAAACAACAGTTGAAATAAATTTATGAATTAATATTATTTTGTTTAATTTCAGTACTATTACCATATGATCAAAATACAAGAATATACTTATTATTTATACAGCATCATAGCATCCAAAGTGTATGGGTCACAGCAGACTCATATACGCTACAACGGGCTGATGGGATAGTGAATTTTTTTTTCGGATTACTCTAATGCTGGCCGCAGCTGACCTCTACAGCATCACCAGACGATAGGGGGCTAATACAGATCAAAGAACTTACGGAGCGGCTAAAAGCTAACTCCCGCTGGACGGATATGACTTTCGGTCCGTCGTAATTTCGATCCCCGCTTGAATCGGACGGGGGATCGATCGGAGGGGGGTGAAAATGAAACAAAGTGTAGTGACCCGCTCGTACTCCTCGGCGTCGGGCGGGCAGCGCTGGTTGGTGGCGTGGTCGGTGGGGTGCAGCAGCTTCCAGGAGCAGAGCTCGGTGAGCACGGAGCACCACGAGGACAGCAGCTGCAGCCCGCGCAGGCACAGCTCCGACACGGCGCGGTTCTCCGCGTCCGAGCCCGCCTCCTTGAACGTCGTCGTCACCTGCCACCGCCCCACACACCTCATCATCATCATCATTACATAGTATAAAACAAGCTGTGTATAAAACAAGTCGCTGTGGCTGTCTGTCCCTATGCATGCTTAAATCTTTAAAACTGTGCAACAAATTTTGAAGCGGTTTTTTTAATAAATAAATAAATAATCTCTGTACAATTCACACAGCGCCATCTAGACCCAAATTAAACTACCTAAAGCTTGTGTTATGGGTACTTGACAACTGATACAAATACATATATGTTTTTTTTTTTCGTAAATACATACATATTATACATAAAAAATACCCAGACCGATACAAACAATCATACTCATGAATACAAATGTTTGTGCCGTGCGAGGACCGCTAGATCACCGAGGTCGTTTAATAGACAGTGATTCGAGAGGAAGATTTATATGTATAATACATGTACACCCGTGCGTAGCCGTGGCGAGTAGCTAGTTTTAACTTGTAGCAACACAGTTTCTACACGTGCCACAATCCACTTCCTAGAATCCTTATCGCACGGCACGTGTAACATTAGACCCGCAGCTGCGCGATCTTCGAGCCGTCGTTACCTGCAGCTGCGCTTAAAAGCGACACGTGTAAAATCATATGTAATGCCGAAATATTTTCTCTCAGCTGTATCATTATAAGGTCCCAGGTTCTCAACCTAACCCTAAAGGAGAGTGTACATACATAAGTAGGTCATAAACCTAAACCTAAAGGAGAGTGTACATACATAAGTAGGTCATAAACCTAACCCTAAAGGAGAGTGTACATATACCTCCTTGAAAACTAAAACTTAAGAAATTTCTATTAGAATACCAAATTTCCAGTGTATAACTGTCCATACTATACTATTTCACCTATGTATTTTATCCATCACTAGCTGTACCCGCGACTTCGTCTGCGTAAATAATGAAATAATATTTAATAACCTAACTCAATATAAGTCAAATAAAAAAGTTTCATCGTTTTAGTTTCAAAAATGACGAATCGACTAAAATCTTGCATCCCCTATTTTATTTTACTCCCTTAAGGGTAATTTCTTTACAAATATTGAATGTCAAATTTATTCATATTTAATCAACAGCCTCAAAAATAAGTCTTAAGCTTCTAGCTTAAAAAATGACGATTCTTCCATACAATCTTTCATCCCCCCTTCCAACCCCTTCCAACCCTTTTTTCGCATTAAAATGTAGCCTATGTCCGTTCTCAGGGTCTAGACTATCTGTATACCAAATTTCATTTAAATCGGTTCAGTAGTTTTGACATGAATGCGAGACAGACAGACAGACAGAGTTACTTTCGCATTTATAATATTAGGAATGATTTATCAAAACATACACTTACACCTATATCTTATCAGAAATACCACCAACAGTTCACGCAGGCAACAGTAAACAATTTATATATTTTAAAATCCGTTGCGCAGTTTTTAAGATTTAAGCACACATAGTGACGGACAGACAGCGACAGCGACTTTGTTTTATACTATGTAATGAAGCCGGTAGATCCTTATTAATATTATAAATGCGAAAGTAACTCTGTCTCACTTTTATTTTATAATGTAAAAAAGAATTGTAAAGGGTTATGAATGGTTGTTGAAATTTATTTTTAGCCAGTTGTGCCTTACTAATATTATAAATGCAACTCTGTCTGTCTGTCCGTCTCGCTCTCACGTTTAAGAATTCTAGAAAGGCTAAGGTGGGGCATGGCTCTAAAAAGGGAATCACTGGTCTACACTCTGAGAAAGAACATAGGCTACTTTTTAATGCCAAAATAAGCTTCTGTGTCGTCAGCATCTAGGACCAAATAGACTAATCTGGTGTCTATTGGTGCGAAAGTGTAATTAATTCACTCACTTCGTTGCTGTATCGGGCTAACTCCGATATGTAGTTCTGGTGCTCCTCCCTTATCTGTGGCAGGTGGACCATCAGGTCAGCTTGCGGGGACGGCGGGTTGGGACTCGACGATAATGGCCACCTGGTGAAATAAACGTTATGATTTAAATAATTGCAAATCAATTTACAAAAAACGCGAGTGTATTTCGAGTGCGATGAGCTTGCCGCGGTTTTGTAGGGCGTCTACAGTTCGGCCGCTCAGAATTTGGGTTTCGGACTGGTCGGGATCGAATGGGCGATGTAACTTTGAACTGACCTACAATTTACGGCAAAATTCTAAATATCTAAGTGCAGTGTCTATAAACGAGTGTTAACATTAAAAATTTCATAATTATTCCAACTTACAATAAACGTAATTTTGGACATCGTAATTCTGATTTCAAAAAACAATACTTTTTTAATTTTTAATTTTTTTTTTAGTCAAATCACATTAAACAGCTCTGTTTCAAGGTTATATCAACTTTTTTTTTTTAGTGATGTAACCTAATAACCTTGAAACAGCGTAGTTTCATGTGGTTTGACTTTTAAAAACTATGTACGTACGCCAGTTCAAAGTTACATCGCTATTCGATCCCGACCTGTCAGAAACGTAAACTCTGAGCGGCCGGACCTTGGTATGTTTTCTGAAGCGAATATAAATGATTTTTTCAACGCATTTGCTCATAATGTGGATCTAATTTCACCGGTTTTCTATACATAAAACAGCTCATGAACGCGTGCGTTATGAACTTAAATTGTGAAGTTATATTCGCTATATATACACTCTACTTGATATTTTTTTCAAATAGTACGGTTAGATAGAGTTCTATAGTAGATACTGTTCCCGAAATTTTCCTTTGAATGATTTGATACGATAAATAAAATATTACAACTTACTTGCTTGGATCGTAGTGTTTGGACCTCTTGATGTAGTTAAACGGTGCTATTTGCATGTCACCAAACAGGGGCACCACTTCCAGATTCTGTACATTAAGGAGATATCATCTCTATCACTAACTTTAGTATATTTATTGTTTTTATTATTATTATTATATTAAATTTACCCGAAAAAAGAGATACAAATGTCGCGTAAAAAAGCTTATTATAACATTGAAGGGTTTGTAAATGATAATAATGTTTTTGTAGAAAAAACTTAAAATCCATAGAGCTGTTACTGTGTATTTATTTATTTAAAATAACATTTATTCAAAAGAGCAACTCACAATGTTCTTGCTCATTCTTGTGATGAGTCTGCGTTCCGAGTGGTAGAATAAAAAAAAAATGACTATTCAAAAGTGTTTGTATTGAGTATATTTGAATAAACATTCCTAAGAACAACCAGTCCTAAGAAATCTGAAGAAGCTTACACTATATCGTTTTGTACTAAATAAGTTTTTACTTATGATTGTAATGTTTTATTTGAACCATTTCTAATTAAATCACACACATGCAGAACCATCAAATAAAAAAAATTAAGGTAACCTTAAAAATCCTGTCGATCCGGTCGAGTCGTATCTTCTTCTTCTGGTCCAGCCGGTTGATGTTGCACACCTCTGAGTCCATGAGGAACAGTCCGAAGCCCATCACCTGTTCGTGAAGGTAATGCAACAATAAAAAAAACGTTATACAGTAAGACCCTCTGCATTCGGAGCATTCAGTCACTTGCCAGTTTCAAAATCTCTGTCAAGTCCCATTTTCTTTCCCTTTAAGTTCATATTGTCCTCTTTGTCTCATGGTTCCCTTAATACTTTCTGAAGGTATGTGTATTATTAAGTGTATGTATGTTTATATTTTACTAGCTGTCCCGGCAAACGTTGTTTTGCCATATAAATTAAAAACGCTATAAAAAAATAGGGGTTGATGATAGAAGGGTGAAAATTTAGGATTGTATGTATTTTTGTATGTTGTATCATAAAAAAATAGAAACTAAAAATTTTGTCTAAAAAATAAAAATAAAAATTTAGGGGTGGACCACCCCTAACATTTAAGGGGATGAAAAATAGATGTTGGCCGATTCTCAGACCTACTCAATACGCTCACAAAATTTCATTAGAATCGGTCAATCCTTTTCGGAGGAGTATGGAAACGAAAACTGTGACACAAGAATTTTATATATAAGATTATATATATTAATAGGTAATATATGTATATACATATATATCTGTACATAAATATGTACAAAATAAATATAATGTATTTATATATATATGTATATACATTATATTTATTATGTGTACCTACCCTTTTCTTAAGTTAATAATAGTTAAAAAAGTTTTATCAAAATCCGTTCAGTTCTTGCGTTATAGAGTAACAAACATGCATCCATACTCACAAACTTTCGCATTTATAATATTATTATGACTAAGATATACATATTTAAATATCGGAGGCCTTTGTCGATTGGCAAACAGATCTGCAGAAATTAAAAAAGATCAAATACTAGAATATTTTTTTCCTTTTTGGTAAGTTTTATGTTTGTTTTAAAATAATGTATAAGTTGATCTGAATAAAGGCTATAATAAATATTTACATATAAGCAACACAGTGGTGTAAATGTTACCTTGACCAGCATGTGCTTCTCGGAGGGCGTGAGGTACATCTTCGTTTCGAACATGTGTACACATATATTCACGACATCCGCTAACAGTTCTTCGTAACCTACGAACAAAACGTATTTTAAGCAATATACATAACAAACATATACACACACAATATATACATACATTATTGCATTTTTTTTACATACTACGACTATAGCAAGCATACGGACCATCTGATGGTAAATCAAATAAAATCAAAACAGTTTATTCATGTAGGATATTTTAGCTACGGTAAACGGTTATGGACGTCTGAAACACCAGAACTGTCTCGTGCGTGTTGTCGACCATCAAGAAACCATAATATACCCTTCTTGAATAAGGAATTAACAAAAAAATGACTTTGTGGTGTAATTATATACGGTCGAAGTGGCAGCGAGAGGTTTACCAGCGAAATCTCTCTACAATCTTCTAAACGATCTTGGCCTGTCTAGAACTGCAGTAAATTCTATACCAGAACAGAATAGAAATAGAATAGAAAATCATTTATTCAAATAAACTTATATTGGAAGCACTTTTGAATATTCACTACATTTTTTAATCTACCGCTCGTTCGGAAAGCAAGCGAGTTCGAGCAAGAAACTTGCGTGTTGCTCTTTTAAATAATTTTATTATTACTTAACATTTTTAAGTTTAAGTGTGTGAATACAAACCACCTATTAGCACTAATTCAATTAAATATTCAAATAGAAAAAATATTGAATATATAACCAACTGGTTAAACAATTAATAAGAGGTGTATCTAAAGCTGCACTAGCAGACTCCTACAGATTTGTGTGGGCAGGGAAACACGAGCGGTGAAGGTGAGTGTTGTCGTACGTCGACAAGGGCCCCCTTAGTGGGGAAAGGGCAATCCCCTTAGTAATATAGACTGATGATCTTATTGCTAGTAATGTTCCATGTTGAGTTGAACTCCACGCGGTTTCCCCTAGAAACCATCATGATAAATTCTTGGTGAATTTGTCACGGGCTAACTGACCTGACCTCATACCTCATACTCCACTTGTGCCCCGCCAACCGTTAGCACAGATAGTTGCACCATTCCAATATCATCCATAAAAAAAAAGAAAAAAGTACCCAGTTAAACCTACACCCGAGGGGGAAGGGGATTGTTAGCAATCTAGTAACATTGCTAACAATGTACTATGTTAGGTCGACCTCCGCGTGGTTCCCCCTGGAAACCATCGTGATGAATTCTTGGTGAATTTGTCACGATGGGCTAACTGCCTGACCTCATGTTCATCGTATCATCCTCTCTCTAGCCACCATTCCATTATCATACACTAAAAAAAAAAACCTACACCCGGGATAGACCCGGCACCCGCACCGTGAATACATGGAATACTAACAAGTTCGTCTCTAGTATGAATTTATCCATGGTTGCTCACCATTGATCTTCTCCAGGGCATCTTTGACAGTGTCCCTGATCTTGTTCTGAGTGGCGAGGAACATCGACAGATTCTGAGACTCCTGAAGACTCTGGCTATCCGACATCACTTTGAGGAATTGCGCCGCTCTGGAACAATAATCATTACACGTATAATTAGTAAATCACGAAATCTTCCCAAGTTTTATTTTTATTGAGTTCCCGATATTTCATATATTTAAAACAGTATCTTAATAATACTACAAACGCGAAAGTTTGTGAGTATGGGTGTTTGTTACTCTTTAACTCAAAAACTACTGAACGGATTTTGATGAAACTTTACAGTAATATAGCTTATGCATCAGTATAACAAATAGGCTATAAATTATAATAATAATATTGCATTTTATGGACGCAAAAATAGAAAAAAATAATTTTTATTCTGTATTCATTCTCATCTTATCATCCTCCACTGGTGCCCCGCCAAGGTATACGGTTAGCGTTCACGAGTGCACCATTCCACTATCATCCGTAAGAAAACAAAATGGTGCTTGCCTGCGCTAACAGTGTAAGCTGGCGGGGCACCACTGAAGGATGATAAGAGGAGAATGTGGTCAAGTTAGTTAGCACATCGTGGCAATTTCGAAAGGAATGGAAGCTCCTTTTGTTCTTTCAAACTGAGAATTTAACATGATCCCAATCTCTCTGGCGGTATCGAGCTACTTAGCTTGAGGCGAGACATCGCTTCGCTTTTTGTGTTCTACCGATTATACAACGGACTGTGTTCTGAGGAATTGTTCGACATGATGCCGACAGCCACCTTTTACCACCGCACCGCTCGCCATCGACAGGGAATTCATCCCCACACACTGGAACCTAAGTGGTTCCGAACAGTGCGGTTTCAGAGGAGCTTCCTCCCGCGTACATTTAGTTTGTGGAATAAACTTTCTGTCGAGGTTTTCCCACGACACTACAGCATGGGGTTTTTCAAGAAGGGTATATTAAGGTTTCTTAAGGGTCGGCAACGCGCCGCGTTACCCCTGGTGTTTCCGGCATTCATAGGCTACGGAAACCATTTACGATCAGATGGGCCGTATGCTTGATTGCCACCATCGTAGTATAAAAAAAAAATGTTTTCCAAGAGGAACCATGTGGAGTTAACCTTTCTAGCAATAGTGTTATTAATCCACCTTACTAAAAGTCTCCATCTAACTGATAGGTGTGCCATTCCATTATCATACATAAAAAAATACCTTCTGTATGTGGAGTAATCATTTTTGACAGAGCTCTTCATATTCTTCAGTTCGTCTAACACGGCGAACATATTCACAAACTTGCCGAGCGTTAGCAGATACGCTTCCGACACGAAGTCGCGTCGCTTCTCAGCGTGACAGAGACGGCGGACCTCCGCACAGAATCGCTCTATCGCCTTGCGCTGTAACGAACAAATTGGGTTAGTTAGTTACCATACTCATCCGAAACGCGACCGATTTTTATGAAATTTTATATGCATATTCATTAAGTCTAAAAATCGAGTACTATCTATTTTTCATACCCTAAGAATAAGGGTTGTCCACCTCCAACATTTATTTTTAGAACAATTTTTTTTCATATCATTAAGATATAATCCTAAATTTTCACGCGCGAGAAATCTAATCCGAATCAAATTGGCGGTGTGCAATACCGGACCACCGAGGCCGTCAATTTTGAGTCGATCAACATAACGGTCTAGTCCTGCCCCTATAAATGGGCTAACTGTTATGTTCATCTTAAACCGCAAGGATAGGAAAGTGTGGGGTCGGTAGCAATAAATGTAATAAAATAGACCTTCAACAAATAATTAGTGTATTGAAAGATATAAATTGTAATAAAAATGCATATGGGACAGAGCCGCGATATTATATTATAAGGCGAGTGAAGGATGACGTGAGAATATTTTATAAATGAATGTGTCTATCATCAGCCTTATATAATAGAAAATATGTAGCTACATTGATATATTTTATGAATGAAAATCAAACGCGTATGTCTTTGGTTACGCCCCCTAACTATAAGACCACTCCTCTCTGCCACACGACGGACCTGGCACCCGCAGTGAATCCATGGAATGCTAACAAATTCATCTCATTCTGACAGAAAAGGCCCAATAACGGGCTACTCGAACAAATACTCCAATAAACTATTGCTACTAAGTAAAATCAATATGACTAGGGCCCTCACTGGACACTGCAAATTGAACAAACATGGCTAATCTAGGCCTGTGCGCAACAAAAATATGCAGATTGTGCCAAGCTGAAGGTGAAACGCCACTACACATCCTATGTGGTTGTAGCCCACTCATGCATAAACGTAATATCTCCTTTGGAAAGTCTACACTCTATCCTGAGGAGATAAAAACCATTGTTCTTTATAATATCCTTCAATTCTTGTCCCTGACGGGTTTAGGCAGCGAACTCTGAAAAGAGTAGGGCGAGCACGATAGACCTATGTAGGTTGCAGTGCTACAGGTCCAAGCACTTGACAAGCTCATATTATGAATACCTTATAGACTAACATACATATGAATTAACATTACAAGACTAGTACTGAAAGCCCGACCACCTGCGGCTATCAGCTATAATAATATGAGCGGTGTGCTCTCATGCCCACAATGTGCGAGGATTTTTACACACAAAATAGGCTACATAAGTCGCCTAGTCTAGTCGCAGAGTTGACAGTCGCCAAAATCAGCCGGGATTACATCGTTCATTCATAATACTAATATATTGCAATTGTCTATGTGGACCTGTGTCCACTACGACGGCAATCTGCCTACTGTGGCGCTGATACACCACCCCCTTCCGCCAGTGGAGGACTACTGGCCGAAAGGATAACTGCCACCAACATGCTGCTCACTTCATGAAAGTGACCAGCATGTTGGTGGGGAGTCAGGCCACAAAGGTAACAATAAAAAGAAAAAATAATCTCAGTCTTACCTGAAAATACATGAACTGCAGTAACTTGTCCACCTCAGGTGCCAGCACCTGTACTGTCCTCTCGTATATGTGCACGCGGTCAGGCTGCTCGTTGGAGCGCGGCTGTGGTATGGCGCGACTGCAGCACCGCCACGTATACAGCATGACGGCGTGAGCGTTGCCTTCTTCCAGCAGCTCATTCTGGAAACAATTTGTTTTTTTTTATTTCTTTACTTTTTTTGACAATTTAGGCAGCACCATCTACTAGACAACTGATTCTAAATCAATTATATTTTTTTTCGAAAATTACACATAGAAAAGACCCAGACTTATTCAAACAATTATATGTTTGTCATAATCGTAAACTAGTGCTGCTTGTGGGGACTGGTCTTATTACAGATTTACTCTTATTTAGTTACTCAACCAGTTGGTTGTATATTTAATATTTTGTCCATTTGAGTATTTAATGGAATTAGTTTTAATTGTAAACTAGTGCTGCTTGTGGGGACAGGTCTGCTCTAATCATTATGACTGATTTACTCTTATTTAATAACTCAACCACTCACAAAGTTGGTTGTATATTTAATATTGTCTCTATTTGAGTATTTAATTCGATTATTGCTATTTGGTAGTTTGTATTCATACACTTCAACTGTAAATGTAAAGTAACAGTAAAATTATTTAAAAGAGCAACTTGCTTGTTCTTTTTGTGATGAGACAGCTTTCCAAATGAGCGGTAGATTAAAAAAAATGTGATGACAATTTTTTTATGTAAAGTAAAAAGTACTGTAAGGGATATTGACTTGGAAGGATTACCAGATTGGCATGGACTGTAGCCTCCTCAATATATTTTGCGATTCCTGTGACGAATCCATTCCGGTCCTCAAAGTTGGTGTCAAAATTAGCCTGGTACAGTATCGAGCATGGCGCAGCTTCGATGCATGGCTGCTCATCTGTAGTAAATAAATAGACTTATATAAACCTAGTAATATAATTCGAAATACATACCGCATAGTCAGAAAATTCCTATAAACAGATTAGGCCGAAATTCATATTAGTATATTCACATAAAAATATTACATTGCTATGTACTTGGCCCAAAAATACCACAGAAAACAAAAGAAAGATAATAAAAAAAGTGATGTCCTCAATAATAACTTCATATAGCTCAACCACTCCCACATCCACCTAAACCCAAGTTAAGTTATACAATTATTGCATTCGTATGAAGCCGGGAGTCGATAGGCAGTAATAGCGACAAAACGACGGTGTAAATTGCTATGATAATTGACGGAAATTCCAACGCACGATTGTCACTATTCAATGATACAAGTAATACTATAAAAACTCACAAACCTGGCAAAGTAAGCTCATCCAAAACATCCACATTGCTCAGAGCATCTGAGAGCGACACTTTTTCACTTACAGACATGATTTATAGTGTAAATATACACTATTAAACACGATATGAAAATAACAATAATGGAGTACAGTTCCTATAACTTAATCACACTTAATTACGAAAGTACTATTCATAACTTATCTATTAGCCAATTACAAGTAAATGTAATAACTAATTAGTGTTTACAATGTGTATTTTGTTAGAAATATAGTAATATACAATTAGTAGAATGATAAACAAACGGGACACCACGGTAAGACTCGCCCAATTGCTTGACGCATTTGTTTGGATATTTGACATTGACAGTGACAGTTTTTTTTTTATTCACAAAGACATTAAGACTTTGGAAGTGCCTTTGAGGCGTTATATATCGTCGATTAAATAGAAAAATGTCATTTTTCAAAATATGAAACTAGAAATGCCTTCTATTATATAAATCAATTAAATTAACCACGCCGTCTTAATCATTATCTAAATACTTTTAAAATTATAAATAATACTTCTTTCTAAATTTTGGTTAAAACTTTAAATGAAAAAATATTTTATAAAACTTTAAATGTTTGTCTTGTAAAAAATTAACATTTTGAATAGTGCCATTTTTCTATTTAACCGACGATATTCTAAATCTTGTAAATCGTATATTTATTAAGTAAATATTTCTATTTCTATATATTACTTGATTGCAAACCAATAGACAGAATCACAGCGTGCCTCGGCGGGACCCCGTATAAAAATTTATTTAAAAGGGATACGAGGTCAAAAGATTTGTCACATAAGAAAAATATTGCATAAAATTTAAAGAAATATTTATTCATCGTTTATATATATATTATAATCTAACTAACCTATATATAAACTAACTAAATACTTTTTTTCGGCAAACTAATTTATTAAATCATTTATACCTGATGCAGAAAAAAATAAATTGCTTCTTTTGACTTTGTCATTGAGAAATAAAAAAAAAATTGGGAAGTTAATTTTTCTTTACGCACATTGGGGGTCCCCGTGGCCTGGTGCGCCCCGTATAATTGATACGGCAGATACGTCGGTAGCTGCACCCCTGCCAATAGAGTACAGTAAGCATCTATCCAAACTAAATATTCTTGCAAATTCTGGAATACTGTTCTTATCTCTGATGACTGTTTACTAAGGTACCTGCTAGGTTTCACCACCGTACCGCCAGAAATTAAAATAACATCCTGATCATCTGGATGAATGACGTAGCGGTCCTTTAAAATACGGTTTTCTAGAAACTTTTTGCCACGTACAACCACGTTGTGAAATCACTTTCCAGCAATGATATTTCCGAACCGATATGTATTTCTCGGAGGGCGTGAGGTATATTAAAACCTTCAAGAATGAGCTTATTCCGCGTTAAAAGGCCGGGAACGCACTGGCAATACCAAAAAATAAATATTAATCCCCTGGAACCGATAGTACCTACAATATAATTCTCCAAAGAGTCCGTAATTTTGTTTTTAATAATATATAAGGCATATTAAATTACTAATTTCGTTATTAGTAATTGCTTACATCTGTATTTATGATCATACTAGCTGTGCCCGCGGTTTCACCCACATAAAATATATAGCGTACATGTTATACTGATGTCTAAGCTTTAATACTGTAAAGTTTCATCAAAATCCGTTCAATAGTTTTTGTGTGAAAGAGTAACAAACATCCATACATTCGTCTATCCATCCATACCACAATCTTTCATGTTTATAATCTATACATATAAATAGAATTGGAGTGTCTGTTTGTAACATTGAAATAACCGTTTTTTACTGCATGCATCATCATCATCATCATAATGATGATGCATGCAGTAAATGCATGCATATGAATTTACTGCATGCGCAATTCCGCGTAGAATTTAACTTTATTTTTCTAAAATAAAAGTAGCCTAGGTTACTCCTTATTAGGTCAGCTACCTGCCAAAAAAAATCCATCAAAATCGGTCCAGCCATTTCAGCCGGAACAAACAGACAAATAAATAGACAGACAGACAATAAATATAAAAAATGTTATTTTGGTGTATGTAACACCAGCAGGTAGCTGACCTAATAAGGAGTTACCTAGGCTACTTTTATTTTAGAAAAATAAAGTTAAATTCCACGCGGACTCGCGGGAAATCGCGAGAACAGCTAGTGGTACGTGTTGATGCGGCTTCAGCAGATTACGGGTTGTAGAAATGATAGATTTCGCTTGATAGTCTCGAATTTAATGGCAAATATACTATTTATTACAAATTTGGTGGAGTGAACAAAATGTACGTTAGATCGGTCGGTTGATTTTTTAAGTCTGTACGTTACGTTACGTATTTAAAATTGGATGGTTGTGCGCTCCAATCAGAACGCTCCCTTTGTGTTGCGTTTTGTTGCTGCTTGTACGCGACGACTTGTAATTACAATAATAATAATCTCAGTACAATTCACACAGCGCAGCGCCAAACTCTGACAGAGAGGCAACTCAAATTTTATATTAAACAAATGTTATGTACAAAAGCCTATTATAAGATAGATGAATTTATAGATGATAGCAATATATAGCAAGAATAAGTTTATTTGCGGACAATGTTATAATTTGTTTTTCATACTGCTTCTTTGATATATGATAGCGTAGCGGCTTTTGTATTGATTGCCGCATGCATCCTCATGTAAAGTGCGAATACTGTAACTACCATATAGTAATTTTAAGTAGCTATGCCGTGATCGAGTGGAATGAGTAGTCATGGTCACTAAAATGTCCAGACAAGTGGCGGCGTGGTCGGCCGGGTCATAGGGCTCCCTAAAATATGGTCGAGCGCAATGATGGCTGGCTCTTCCGTCATACTCGTGAACGAGTGCTGCTTGCAGGGACTGGTCTGCTCTTATCACTACGACTGATTTAATCTTATTGTATATTTATATTTGACCCAAATAAATTAGTGCTGGTTGGTAGTTTGTATTCACACGTTTCGACTAGTAAATGTAAAATTACAAGGATTATTTAAAAGAGCAACACACAAGTTTCTTGCTCGTTCTTCTTGTGATGAGTCAGCTTTCCGAACGAGCGGTAGATTAAAAAAAATTGTTATGACTATTCAAAAGTCCTTAAATTAAGTTTATTTGAATAAATGATGTTCTATTCTATTCTATTCCTACTCATTAAAAATTCCAAAGTATCGAAGCGCCTATTGCAGTCGCGGGATCGAATGTCCGTCCACCACAACTTCGGCGGCAAAACAGCGCCATCTAGTTCCAAGTTAAGCAGAGCAATCGAGCAATGCAATCCAGAGCACTGTTAAAAACAATGCTCACACCGGGCTCAGCCGGGCCGGCAGCAGAAGAAGACGCTTGGATGAAAGGAATGGGGTTAGTTCTTGCGATCTCCGATCGATCCCTCGTCCAACTCAAACGGGGATCGAAATTACGACGGTCTGAGCCGAGGTTCGAACCCCTATCTATCGCTGCCCTCAGGCTAAAGTCGGATTCGACAGGCGGGAGTTGGCCTTCAGCCGCTCCATGAGTCTTCCTTTGGTTTGAAGTGCTATCCGTACTCGCTTTCTATCGTCCGGTGAAGCTGTAAAGCCCAACTGCGGCCAACAGCATTAGAGTAGTCCGAAAAAAATCGCCACTCGCGAAATAGTTTGTTGCTTATACAAACTATTTCGCGAGCGTCGGTTTTTTTTTAAACACAGACGGTATCTTCGTCTAGGAATAATTTTCTGGTAGTGATTTCTGATGCGTCTAGGTATAAATATAATTATTTAATGTGAGGAAAGGGGTGCACAATGTCTAATCGTTATGACATTCTTTTTTTTCTCATATTCGTCCATCTTTTTTTCAATTAATTGAATAGGCAAAGATCTTTAGACCATACAGCCTAGTTCACTTTTAAGACATTTTTTATAATTAGAAATAAAAGATGGCGGGCATTTATTCAATTTTTTTTTCTTTTGGCTCCGGCGATTTGTGTTGACATAAGCCATTTCTTTTTTATATAAATGAATGTTCACTTTATTAGCTGCCAGTAACATATCTGGGAAATCCAGTGCGTATCGCGACAGAACGTTCAACAATAGGTGACCGATAGATCACAAGTATCAGTCAAGGAAACTATAAATTTGTGGAAAATAAATTAATATGTACATATATTAGGTGTGTATATTTTTTTAAGGATGATAATGGAATGGTGTTCAAATGCGCTAACGGTTTACGCTGGCGGGGCACCAGTGGAGGATGATAAGATGAACATGAGGTCAGGTCAGTTAGCCCATCGTGACAAATTCACCAAGAATTTATCACGATGGTTTCCAGGGGGAACCGCGTGGAGGTCAACCTGACATAGTACATTGCTAGTAATGTGTTATTAAGTCCACATTACTAACAATGCCCTTCCCCCTAGGTATGTAGGTCTACGCACTAACTGACTAATAGCACAGATAACATAATATTACATATGTTTTTATCTATATAAACATACTAATAATAAAACACATTTTTTCAGTAGGTTAAATTTTTATTTATTTCGATAATGAAACTATATTTGCTTATTTGATTATAATACTGCGCAATTATATTATTTTTAGCGTTATGACTAACGTAAAAAATAATATAATTACAAGCTATAAAGAATTATTATTAATTCTTTATTGGAGCTAAAAACATAATATTTTCCATGTAGGGTAGTGCAACGATAACAGCCACAGTAGGTAAATAAAACTGTGTCGTGCCGTCAACGAACAAGGCGTTAGCTTTCCAGTAGTATAACATTAATTTATATCATAAAAAGTAAAGGCATGCATAATTACAATTTACAGTTACAATAATTATTTAGTTATTAGAAGTAATATGGACACTTTTAGGAACATAAGTTAAATTAAATACAAAATTCTTAGCCAATATTCACTAATTAGGTTTCCTGTACATAAAAATATTACAATGAAAAAACTTAAGACAATACAATTTGTGAACGAATATTGAATGTAATTGAATGGTTATGAGTTGTAGTGAGTGTAATTGTAAGTATATGTATCTGTATGAATGTATATATGTTGGATGGTATAGTGTGATTTTTTTTTCTTTTTTTTTTTATATATATTCAAATGTATTTTAAACCCTTACGAGATTTTCAGTGTCGTCGTAATTTAGTTTCTGAAGCCATTGAAACAACAATTTTTTAGTTTCGCAGTGTGTATGTGGATAAATGGAAACTACCTTATTAATTTTGTTATATAACACTGAACTATGATATTGATATTTACGTCACATTACTGCAAGATTAGATG